CGCACGAACCAAGTTGGGATTCTTCATAGTCCATGAGGATCTACATTTTAAAAATAGTCCCACTCAAAAAGATTTTTAGCACCTCAGGCGGTTCCCTCGTGAGATGCGATGATAGACTATTGCTATTGCATATTATTTCCTTACATATTTGTTGAAGACTGAATCTATATTCACTTCACTACAGAAGAGGAAGTAGTAGAGACTGTAAGCTTTAGCGTGTAAGACAAGCAGATTGTCAGAAAACAGTAAAAAAAGTACTCTTTATTTCCCCTACTGATCTCCATGTCTCTGCTTTCGATTTTTAAGTCTAGCATAAAAAATCAAACTAATAATTCATCTACTTATATGATTCTGCGTTGAACATATTCATCTGATGTGCGAATAGATCGAGTTCAACTCTGGGCAGAAACGAAAACTATTTGTTAATGTGGCTCTTCAGAAAACGTATCAACGCAACTAAATGGGAACCGACTTCAGGGTCTTCCTAGAACTCGTATTTCATTTGAGTGTGTAGATGTAATACATTCATACTGGATGACAGTTTTTCCTTGTTGCCGATTTTTTAGCATTTGGTACCTAACTGTTGTTTCTGGCTGCAGCATCGTTTGAACTAATCTCATCGGACGATTCTTTATTATGACAAATTTTAGTTCAAATATTTGATCGATAAGCAAAAGAATAGTACGGTAATCATCGGTAACAAGCACAAAACTGACTACCAACAACGACTATTAACTGAATTTATTGAGATTTTCGTTGAATAGATGGACATCGACAGTGGCCAGTTAATGACATTAGGCAATTGCCATCGAAAGATTGGAATAAAAATAACGAGTTTAAAACATTACCTCCAGGATGAATGAAACATATGTAAATGCATGTGGAGACGATTTTAAAGGAGCCAGGAAAAAAGCACAATGAAGCCTGTTTATATAAATTTGTATAAAGCTGCAGAAACGAGCCGAAAAATAAGCGATTCCTCCTACTTTCAGCATGATTTATTCCCCCTTCGAAACTTGATGTGGTACGTTCTCAATTGTGTAAACTAATTCAAAAAAAATAACGGTGGGTACCACATGCTGTTTCTCAAAAACTGTCTATCTGTCATGCACACTAGTCGAAAAAAATTTGTTAATTCTTATCGGTTTCTTACGAATTTCTTATACAAGAAGTTGCACGAAAGTGATAAAAAATCGATTGGTTCCGGTAAGAAATTTATAAGAAATCATAAGAATTTTTTGAAAAGTTTTTTAATCATTTTTCAACCAGATTTTTGAAAGTAAGTCTATTTCGAGGAGCGCTTCGTGCTTTGATTACCTTGAAGCATTAAGAACACGAAGTTTTTGGGTCACTCCAGAAAAGTAACTGAGAAAAGTTTTATATATGGACAAAACCTATCCATTTTAGACTTTTGAGAAATGGAAACGTGTTTGCTGGAGCGGAGAAAAAACGTTATTGAAAGATAATATAAATTTCAGAATAGGCATAATAGCAGCTTTCCAGTCTCTCATCCTTTATAGTTTTCTAACCTCTTCTTCTTAGATTCTAAATGAATGTGGGAATAAGTTTTTTTCATTTACTGATCGTGAGATTTCAAAGAGAATGTTGATTCACAACGTCATTTTAAAACAATTAAATTAAATTTAGTAATCCATGATTTAGTGGTTATAACTCAGATTATCAAGATATATATAGTACGCAAGTTCGATCCCTCCCACGGACCATGGGTATTTTTTGTCTTTTTTTTTGCAAAACTCGCATGAAACTGGCTAAATTCAATCATCTGATTCTTTTAGATGCTTTCTAGTAGATAAAACAGTCTTTTTTAAAATTCTCACGATTTCTTATGAATATCTTATAAGATTCTTATAAATTTCTTACCAGAACCGGTCGATTCCTTAGCAGTTTTGTGTAACTTCTTATATAACAAATTGGTTTTTGACGGGATTGCGCTGAAACCCTGCTAAGATCGTGACAAGATTTTTCTGACTCTTTTTTGATTTTATCCGTGTATGTTGCGTGTGTGGGTATGTAACATGTAAAGATGATCCGATAATTTATTAATATTTAGTCTGAAGAATGAGCTTTTTTCGATGTTTTCTGGATCGATAATAGATTAGCAGTTAAAATTAAATACATTTCCTATTTGTATTCTAACAGCCCTTCAATACAGGTGACATATGAATCATGTTCAATTCATACTCTGTCAAAAAGCGAACAACTCTAATCGAATTCTTTAAAAAACGAGAAAAGAACAATTGGATTTATATATACAATAATAGGAATACCAAAAAGTTTTTTATCGATATGCTAATGTGTTTTGATTGTCAACACACAACTAAAATTGAAAATAAGAATAAAAAAGAAAAGATTTATATATGGCTTAATTTTCATTTTGACTATTTTCTTTAGATGTCGATTACGAAACGAAAAAATTTCCAAGTGTGATCACATAGAAAGTTTATTTTTTCAATAATAATAGACTCAATTTCATTTTTGATTGTGTATATTTAGAATTGAAACCTGAAAAAATCAAATTGGCTATCTTTTGTTTCGCTCATCTCACTCGATTAAATTGTCCAAATAAAAAACAAAATCGATGTGTGTGTGTGTGTGTGTGAATCTATATACTTGTCGAATAGACAGATAATATAAGAAAATGAATTTAGAATGCTCATTTTCTCTTCTTTTATTTTTTTGAATAATACTTGAAAAACAGTTTGTTTAAGCAGAAGAAGAATGAGGTGAGCTGTACTTTTAAACTAAAATAAATAATTACAGTTTTGATATTTCTTATGATTTCCAAAATCAAACGAAAAAAATAATGATTTGAAATTGATACAAGTATATGTGCAAAATAAAGAGAGTTGCTTTTATTCAAGGAACTTCAACTAGAGAGCAGCTCAAAATCGAACAAAGAAAACATAAGCGAAAACTAAAACTACTGTTGAAATTGAGTATTACAGTTAAATATTATAAATTTTGTGCAAATCGGAGCGTAGCTAAAGAGTAGTATCCTATAAGAAGCATAATTGGATTCTGTCTCTTCACTGCTCAAGTAATTTGGTACAGCGCTAGTGTCCGTCCCCACATAGAACTTTTTTAAGATTTCAAATTTATTTTCTAGCCTCATCGAGAAGCACATAGAAGATCTCAAGACTAGAGGCATATGAGATACACTTTGTCGACTACTCTTTTATTTAGCCTAAAAAACAGTTAAGGATTAACAAATTTGATCTATTGTTAGCTATAGCCGTCATGTAGAAAGGAGTGTACACATGCTCACATACACATATCAAACAGAAAACTATGGTAAAAACTAATTTCTGTTCGTTATTACTGTTTAACACTATGAAGCTACAATCGGCGATCTTCTATTTTTGTACAGTCTATAATTGTAACATTAGTGGACTACTGATATTATAATTATTTATTTGATTTGATGTATCAATAATAGTTAATTACTTTTATAATATGAGAAATGCTAGTTCTATATTTTAATTAAAAAATTATCATTTTTCTGGAAGTTTTCTAAGGGAAAAAAATCAAATAATTTTCAATTAGTTTAATACCACTCACGCACATACACATACACGCGCTCGGTTTTTAGATCTCTAGATGTAATGCTATAAATGAATTTATCAGAATTATTGTATTATATAAACAAAGCTTTCATATCGCAGATAGATATGTACAATGCTGTTCTAATATGGCTTACAAAAAAAAAGAAGAGATTAATAAAATAGTAATTTATGCTTGTTAATTAGGTGATACTTCTCTATTAGAAGGCGTTGCCGTTGTCGAAGTTGATTGTGATAAACTACTGCACAATAATGCTCGTTGTGCATAAAAAGCGTCTGTATTCAAATACGGACTATACCACAATGGACCATGTTGTAATAAACGATGAACGGCTGCTATATTTCCTTGTTCAAGAAATTCTAAATTAACCGCTGCTTGTCGTTTCCATTTTGTTCTAGAGAAAACAGAAAAAATTATATTATATCATATAAAATATTGTCAATAAGATTGTTATACCTTCTATTTTGATACCATGTTTTCACTTGTGTATCAGATAAATTTAATCGTGATGCTAATTCCATTCGATCTTGTACACTCAAATATTTTTGTCTTTCAAAACTTTTTTCTAAACAATTTAATTGTTGATCGGTAAATGCTGTTCGTGCTTTACGTGGTTTTTTAGTTTTAATTGATCCATCAGAGGCACTCGTTCCACCCAAATCAGATTCTAAAAATTAATAAAAACTTAATAGTAAATGTCATTATATGAAAATCGATTATGAATGAAAAAAATTAAAAGAACTTTACGTAGATCAAACATATTTTGTTACACTGTATCGTAGTAACGTCTTTCTACGTATCTATCTATATGTTGAAATTTTTTTTATTATGAAATGTATCAGAGTACTAAAACTCTAATTTTTGAAATTAAAAAATAATACGGCTATTTACCGCTATCAATATCGTCATTATCATCACTATCATCTCTGTTGATCAAAATTGATGATGATATTTGATTATTACTGTTAATATTGTTATTATCATCATGTTGACTTATAATTGACGATGTATCATTGCTTTCTTCTCTCAATATATCTGTAATAAAAAATGAACAAGAACGTTTTGTTGACATTGTTTTTATTTTTGGTGATAAAGGTCGATTTGTTTTTGGATATAATGGAATATATTCTAATTTTTGTCGAAATGGTAAACATTTAATTGGCGACGATGGTAATTTATGATGAAATTTCATATTGTTATACTTTGATAATGATGACGATGATGATGAATTATTATGTTCCGTCATATGTATAGTATTTTGTCTTATTTCGTTGTATATTTAAAAAAAAAAGAAAAACGGACACGATCTATTTAATAATAACGATACTAGTTAATTATATGTTTTAAAAAACTTATGAGAGGAACCAATAGTGAGATTGGAATAAATAGAAAAAAAAAATTCTAAAATGACAATTATTATTGGTGGAATTTTATCGATTTGTTCGTTCTTCGACGACAAAAAATACATAAGTAAAGTAATTAGTAATTTTTTCCCGTTCTGTTTTCTAAACGTTCTATTGACTTATAAAGTGAATTATTTTATTCGTTTTTGTATAAAAGAGAAAACATGACTGTTTCAACAAATAATTAGGCGTGACAATTTTTCTTTTTTCACTGAGTAATACAATATGACATCAACGTAAGGGTACTAATTCATCTTATTCAAGACATTGAGATTCTACGGCTTTAAATTTAGAGAAGATAAAGTTTTCAAGATTTTCATCTAAAGATGTGCTAAAAATTCCTGTCAAAATCAAAAAATTTTTTACAGGCACAATAGGACACCGCTGAGATGAAGTTTGAAACAAGAGCGTCCTACTCGGAAACTCATTTTTGTACCGTTTTTGCACATTCAGATGAAAACTTGTAGAAGACACTTTGAATGAGATTTCTATCGACTTAAGTCAATATTTCGAAAAGACTTACTTAAGGGCCCCCCCCCCTCAGAAATGGTGATTTTCGGTCAAAAAATCGGTTTTGAGATACGCACATGAAAAGATAGCCTGAAGTGTCTACTTCCAGAATCTGTATTGCTTTTGGTTACAAAAGTGATTTTTCCGGGATTTTGAGCAAGTTTTCTACGAGCGACGAAAATGGATCTCCAAATAAAGGTTTTTTCCTGGATACTTATGCAATTAAAATTTTTCTGAAAACACAGCTTTGTAGAGCAAACGTTTCTGATCAAAATAAGACTTCGCACAACTCTGTATGACCTTACATCGAAAAGTTACAGACATTTTCCTAGAAGTCATAAAATCGACTATTTCATACAGCGTTTAACATAGCGTTTTCGCTATATAAAAGTTACACCTGAAGTGCGCCCCAAGATTTTTAATAGCGGTTTGTCGTAGAGAGTTCATTCTTTTTTTGTTTAAAAGAGGAAAAAAAATACATCGACTGACCGGCGTCGATTTCTGAATTAGGTGTTAGTTTTTTGTCAAACTGAGGATTTTTAGTGAGAAGTTGAGGATTTTTTAAATCCGGAAGGCTTTTTCGGGTTTCGTAGGTTGTTGGTTGCCTGGAAAACCAATAAAGGCTTAATTGAAAAATCGGCGCCCGTCAGTCGATGTAGTTAGGTGTCTAGTTTAAAATAAAATAAACCTGAACTCTCCAGCTTGAAGTATATTAAAAAATCTTGGAACGCCGTTCAGGGTCCTTTTTGGACCTTGATCTCTGGAAAACTCCTAAACCGTAAGACTTGGAGACAAAAAATTTTTTTCATTCCAGTAACTCATTGTGCCGAACATTTATGGAAAGTTTCGTCAAGATCGGATGCACGGTGTAGAAGATAATTTCTGAGGTGGGGGGGCACTTAAGAGAGATTTTTGATGATCATGCTAAAGTTAACGAACTTATCCCTTTTTTACATAGATACTATGTTTTGATATCTATTCATAAATATCTTCCTTAAGTTAAGTTTTTCTGATAATTTTTTAAAACATGTGTGCACGCCTCTGACACATACTAGCATAAAAATATTGTGTCTATCATCTTTCTTTGCCCCGAAGGATAATAAAATCTACAAATGATGATGACGTATATGTCAAATGTACATATGTGTTAAAAAGGTGATATATCTATTGTTTCGACCAAATATATTTTGCATGCTGAAGGTTGATAAGCGCTCTCTCTCCCTTTCTCTCTCTCTCTCTCTGTTTCTATTAACATAACAATCGATATTGATCATTGTCGAAATCAATTATGAAAACAATAAAAAAGAAACGAAATGAACAATCATTATCATTTTTTTTATTCAATGTTGCAGTTAGAGTAATAATAATAATAATAATAAAAATAATGATGATGATGATGATGTAGTAATATCAAACAATTAATCGGACTGTTTTATGTTCAATGATGATGATGATTATTCGAGACATATTTTGAACAAAGAAAACCTAAACGTTTTGTCACGACTAAGTGTGTATTGATATATCAGACAGGAGTAATATTTTAAATAATATCTCTCTAAAGGCATTCAAGCAGAAAATGACCACCAATTATAATTAATTTTCTTCGAATGAAAAGAAAAGATTTAAATCAATGTGAGAAAGCAAGAGAGAGCGAGAGAGGCAGTTACACGATAGGAATTAAGATAACAAGAAATACACATGATATGAGAATTATTGAAGAAAACACTTAATAAACGGGAAAATGACTAACTATACAGCAAATTTTGACTTATCCACAGTGTGCTAGGGTTAATCAAATAGCTCTTTCGCTAATTTTAGCAGTCATCGATTTATAGACTAAATTAGTCCAATTAGAAAAACCTGATCTGTATATGATAAAAATTATGATTTTATCCTACGATTCGCATCACTCTTGTGTATATTTCTGAGTTATTTTTGAATTATCTATTTAGATTATTTTTCTTCTATCTCGATCTGTGTAGAAGACTAACGAACACATAGTATTAATGAAGAATACTCATATTATTCCTTTGCAAACTTCTTATTAAAAGTTAACTCGCTGATATATGTATGGTCTTGAGCATTTTGTAAAATCAAAAAATAAACAAAAGTAAACATTTTATGTACCATCTAAGAAAAGAAAAAAATATGCAACAACAAATAGATAAAAAGAAATGATGGACTATATTTTTAGACTCTTTGCCAATTTTTGCCAATAATTAAATTCATATATTCATGTGCTTTTATTCTCAAATGTGCAATAGAATCTGTTCCATTTTCATCTAGTGGTGAATTTGATGATGAACTAGAATTTCGATAACCATTCCCATTATTATTATTATTATTATTTGTATATAATGGTGAAATCGATCTTTGTTGCTGTAAAGATGGCGTTTGCATTGATGTACAATTATCGTTATTATTGTTTGAATAACAATTTGAATTATTATTTACCGGAAAATATGTGGAATTCATAAAACTTGGTAATGTATGTAGAGATGGTGGACCGCCAGTGTTAAATGTGGCTGCAGTCATCCATGGATCTATTGGCAAGGTAGTATTTACAATATTTGTACTTGTTGATGCTCGCAAACTGGCTAAGGGAAAATCGGGATTAATTTTCAATTGATTTTGCTCAGCTTTTTCTTGACGACGCCATTTAGCACGACGATTTTGAAACCAAACCTAGTTTTAACGATGAATAAATTTATTTGAACATGTTCGATTTTAGAAAGAGAAATGTTCCAAAAACGCTTAAGTATGACATACCTGAACTCGCACTTCAGGTAAACTAATTTTCATTGCTAATTCTTCTCTACTGTAAACATCCGGATAGTCTTTGAAAAAAAATAATAAAATAAAATATTTTAAACATGTTAGAAATTATCACTCAACATACGAGATTTTTCAAATGCTCGTTCCAGTTCGTGAAGTTGAAATGTTGTAAATGTTGTTCGATTTCGTCGATGTTTTTTCTTTTGTCTTTCATCATCGGAACTTTTTGAATCATCTTTACTATCATTTTCACTCCTACGTCGAGCTTTAAGATCTAAAATAGAAAAAAAACAATCGTACGACTAATTTCATACAAGAAGACTAGAGTCTCAATATGTTGAAAGAATAGAAACGCTATTTAGAATGGATTTTATCAAAGATGGAAACCTTTCTTACATCATGCAGTTTCCCTAGTGAATGCATTTGGGAGTGGGTACTTGTTTACTTGCAAATTTCCACGGGTACTTGAAAAGCACTTAACAAGTATTTTCAAAGAATACCACTCGATAAATACCTGAAAGCACTTGCCAGATACTTGATCTACTTGTTGAACCTTCCACAGGTACTTGGGGGGTTACTTGGGCAAGTGTGTGGCAAATGACTTGACAAGAAGATAAAGTAATTCAAGTACTTGGTTTACTTGCAAAAAAGCGCAAGAATGTTGGACAAAACTTGTGAGGGTGCTTGACCAAGTACTTGCATGTAAGTACATTCACTAGGGTTGACTTAACTGATGTAGCTTTCTGCTTAACTGAGGGAACGGTTTTACGCGTATCACTGAAAGGTACTATATCTCTTTTAGAATTTCTAAGCAATCACCGGAGTGCCTTATGTTGTTTTTAGTAATTGTTGATTTCAACGAGTTATAAAAGAAAGTCCTGCTAGACGTATCCTGCGAAAATCTATCGGTTTGGTTTTACAGCGATATTTTCAGTGATGGAAGTGTTTCGATTAGAAAGACTTGATTAATGGAACAAAAGTTTTTTTACGAAATGTAAAGTTCTACTTCTGGTAAGAATATTACCCTTAAATTTTCCCTCAATTGGAAAACCGAGTGATACCAAGATGTTCTGAGGGTTACACGAGAAAACATTTTAACCTATTTGAATGTTGTTCACTGAAAATGGTATCTTTCACTCACAATCTGTAGAAAAATTTTATCGGAAATCATCAATGAGGGAAAAAAAAGCACAAGAATTTTGTTAGGACTAGAAGAAATTCTCGTTCTACGTTTGATCACATTTTTTCAACCCGTCTATTTTTTAAAACAATATTTTCGAAATTTTCACTAACATACGATTATAGGAATAGGTATGAGACAGATTTTTACGGAAGTCGAAGACTAAATTGGCCCTATGATTATATTTTTTTAACATTAAAAATCGACTGGAGTGGTAATACTTGCTTAAAGAATTTTTATATTAATTTATTTATATTACACTTACCGTCATCGTACTCATCATGAGGATTTCGCCTTTTTATTCCCTGATTGTTTTGTATATTATAATGTTGATTATTAGGATTGAATAATGTTTGATCACCATTTTTAATTCCTAATATTGCATCAATGGAATGTGTCGATTTTGAATTTGGATCAAGTGCATCACCATCAACAAGAAGTTGATGATGATGAGATGAGGCAACAGTTATTTTATCGCCTTTCGGTAACATTTTTTTTTCTTCTAATAGTCACAAATAACCAACTAACTTTTTTAACATTTATAAATCTATTTTCTTTTTTATTAATCAAATAATTACTTGAAAATATTGTAACTAAGCTCACCTTTGTTTAATTGTAAAATTATTATTTGTTCTCTGTTCTATTCTATTTTTAAGTGTTTAAGAGCGAGAATGAAGGGGAAGAAAATAATTAGTCCAACACGAAACAATTTTCTTTTATTGAAAAAAAGAAAGAAAAAAAGAAAGAAAAAAGAAAGTTCCTCTCTAAAAATATTACGTCCCATTTTATTTTACAGTCAGTAAAGAAACATGATATAATTCGTCAGTCTGGTTATTAAACAAAAATTATACCAATCGAATTAAACAGCCAATAGACAAAAAAAAGAAAAAAAAAAAAAAGAACATACAAATTCGTTAAGATTGGCTTTTAACTATGCGAGAAAGCACAAAAATACACACATCCATCATTCGGTTGAATGAACACATACCGCCTTCTTCTCTATATTTTTTTTCTCGATTAAATAAAATGGCGTGTGTGTATGTGTGCGTGTATTTTTAGTCTATTTACGTGATTTTTCTCTATTTAAAATTGATCTGTCATAATTTAAGGCATAACAAAAAAAATATTTTATTAAGTTTATTCAAACATTAAAATGAAATCAATTGATAAGTCCATTAAATAGAAATTGATAGTAACAATATTTTGAAATAAATCGAACAGAGAAGTCAGAGATAATAGTGTGTTGATAAAAATAAATCATTGTCTATATCTGATGAAAAATATAGCTTAAAAAGAGCAGAACAATTCGAACGAATAACGACTTATCATACTCAAATAGTTAATTTCTCCCATATTAGATCTACCATAATTCTTTTTTGTAAATATTACTCATAATATTTAATACTTTTTAAGGAAATTTGTCTTTTTCAAAAATAAATTCAAAAAATACCATCTTATAATAGCACATGTCTCTTATTTATGATGATACGTTTTACCTGACTCTTGTAGACTTCTCTGATGAAACAAAATGTATTCACCAGAGAGTTTTGTAGAATAAAATGAAATTTTTGAGGTTCTTGAAAGCTATTGAATGTATTATGAGCATAATCCTTTCTTTTTCTATTTATTGAATGGATCATTATTGTAAATATGTATAAATATGTAAAATGAATACTATTTTGTTTTTATCTCAATTTATTAAATTATCTATCTATCTCTATCATATCAAATAGATTAATTGAATCAATTTCATCATTATACCATTGAGAATATACTATAAAATCATTATTTTATCAATATAGAGACAAAATTGATCAATGATTTTAAATCCAATAAGTTTGTATAATTTTTATTAATAAATTAAAAATAAAGTACTTAAATTTCATCATTCTCAATTTGTCTCTATCATTCTATAAAATTTGTAAATGATCAGATTGAAGATAACATTTGTTTTCTATTTTATTTTATTATTTAAAGTGTGTATGGTTCTTACAACTCAATTTTCTAAAATGTGTCAGTCAGTTGAGCTTGTTGTTGAATTGTGTCTAATTAAACTATATATAAATGTACTTTGAGCATAATTGTGATAATGTGATACCGTTCCATCTGTCGTTTAAGTGGCACACGAGAAGTACAGTATAACTTTCAGAACAGTTGACTTTCTTTCTTTCTTTTTTTCTTTTTTTTTTTTTTGATGTTTTATTTTTAATTAGCCATTTTTATGACAGTTAAATTCAAATGTACTCATACGACATACTGCTGTGAAGTCAATTAACTAAAAAAAAAATTTCGTCAACTTACATCTTTACTACCTACTTGAAATTCTTCTCTTCTGTCTCTTTTACTCTTTCATCATTGCAGGAAATGAGAGACATCAACCAATCATGAATAAAATAAAATAAAATAGAAGAAAAGAAATAGTGATAATATTGTCTGATAGATTATTGATTAACACGGTTTCTTTTTATCAAGCTTTTCTCACCTGATTTTGCTATCAATGCCGACTAATCTTTATGATCTGTTGACATTAGACGATATTATTGCTAAAAACTCAGTACTGTTAATGAAACGAGAACAACATCAACGTAACACCCAAATTTTAATGACATACAATTGATATGATTTTTATTGACAAATTTATTATCGTTATAAACATTTTTAACAAAGATTTATGTAGTTTCTATAAAAATAGAGAAAATTTGACGTTTACTATTACACTTTCATAATTCGAACCTATTTTAAAAAGAAAATTATCAATTTTATTTTATGAATTAAATATTTGTCTACGATATTCTAGATACATCTACAAGTTTTAAAAAAAAACAGACAACAACTTCTCGATACATGCATAAATTTAAGATTTTCATACAAATTATGTTATCGCATGTGTAAAAATAGACAACCATTTTATTTTGAAAACAAGCAATCACGCTTCAATATGGTGATATAATTATTCTTTATTTTTCTTCTTCTTCTAAAATGTGTAAATCGTCGAAAGATAGCAGCCTATAGAGAAATTTTGTGATCTTCACTCTCCTATTATCATCATTAACTTGATTAGTTAAAGCGTCAAAAGGGTGCTCTCACAAAAAAGTGAAATGATTAAGATTGACTATGTCACCATCATCATTGTTGACGATAATGTGTTAAATTAGAAAGTTCGCCTTCTAATTTCGTTAACAGGAAATAAAAAGGGGGAAAAAAAAAAAAACGAAGAAATTTTATCATTATTAAGAAGAAGAAAAAGAAAAATTTCATCATCATACAGTAGTTCTATCGTATCTAGTGAGAATTCAATTAGTTAAAAACCGGAAAAATATTTGCAAATTGCTCACTCTCTACATTTGATGAAAAAAAAATTAAATCACATCTCTGTAATGTTTTACATTCTATACTTCTTTGTCTATTTATTTTACTGCCAATAAGGAAATTGTTTTCGACATTAATTGTAATATGAAATAGCTAATAATCATTTGAGCAATCTTAATTAAATAAATGGGATTTCATTAAAATGTTTTTTTTTTTTGTTTCATATTCATAATTATTCTAAAAAGAAAAAGAGGAAAAAAAAATGAAGCGAAAAAATATAATTATGTTTAGATCTTTGTAATTGAAACATTGTCCATTGTTTCAAAAATTTTCTCAACTATCTCAACAAGCATATATCTCATAATAAAATTGAAGAAAATTGATTTTATCTATTCTAATTCTTTATATTCTATTCCCACAGGAACACTAAGACGTCTTTGTATGCTCTTGTATTTACTGAAAATTAGAAAAAAAATTTTATTTTTAAAAGCTTTATAAATTTCTTTTTATTAATAATAATCATAATAATCATAATAATTCTTTTTTTGACAATAAAAGTAGGTTAAGCACATTGAATGAAACTGTATAAGAAGTAGTTTAGAATGAATTGGTTTACAATCTAACTTGAAATCCGATTGAATATGCCTTTTCAAACTTTTTGAATACAAAAGATTAGATTATAAAATGTTAAATATTGTCATGATTGTATGTCACAGTATTCATTGAGATATACTAAATTTTAGCAAACTGAAAGTGGACATTTTTTTTTGTTTTTTTATTCAGCTAAAAGTACATTTAAACAGTCAACAAAGTGAAGATTTAGGTACTTATCTTACGTTTTAGTTTAAAGTCTAAAGATAAAAGCCATACTTTACAATTAAGTATTTTTTATTTTTTTGTTGAAAACTTGGTTTTGTGTCTTTAGACTCTCCCCTTATGAAACTGAGAATCTTTTCAAACATACTGTCGGATGATCTTCAATATGAGGAATATGTTAAGTAGTTAACCACAGACTGTAGATTTTAATATAAAAAGTTTGATTTGATAGGCGAAACGAATAACCATAATACATGCATTTTTTTTCGAAGGTTATGTAGTTTAATAGTTCTATTTAAATATGACAATTTTATACTAAAATTTTCAAATGATCAGGTCAAATTAACTACAATGCAGGTAAAGTTTTTCATAGAATACACCTGTATACGTTATATGTGCTCTTTGTGATTATATTTCACGATGAACAAATTTAATCTGAATCACGCAAACTAAACATTTTTCCTTTTTTATACGTCTTTTTATGTAATTAGTTGAAAATGATTAAAGAATGACACTAAATTGCCACGGAAAAAAACAATTCATGTCACGCAATTTGTAACTTTCTCTATTCTTATCGTTTTACCATCGTTAAAAGTAGATTATGACGCACATGTGTAGAGGAAAGAACATAATGGTCTATTAATTAAACTTAAAATTTTAGTCATCTATTTTTAAAATATATTATTTTATTCTAAGTAAATAATTAACATTCATTGTTTTTACACTGAAAATTTATCTAAATCTGTGATTATAATATAAAAAAAATGTTGAACTGTGTAGCTTGTTCAAAAAATAACTTAAAATATTTTTATCAATAACGGAGATCATTATTTCAATAACGAACACATTAGTAATAAAGACTACGTTGACTTAAACTGATTAACATTTTATTTCAATAGATTTTCTTTTGTTCTCTGTATTCTATACAAACATATTTTTAACTATCATGTTTTGATTGCTCAAATATGGTACAAAATGAAAGAAGTTTTTCCTTCTGATCAGTTTTTCCGTTCACATTTGGAATTAAAATTTTTGACATTTTACATATTGTGTTTAAGTTTGAATATCATTATTCTTGAAGTAGTATGTACCTGTTGAATTTTAGTGTAATCAAAAGATGAAAATGTTTGTTAACCAAAAAAACGGAAAAGTTTTGAATGATTCAAACTATAGGACTGATGTGGTAGACATAATAATTTTGTAAATCTTCTTTTTATTATATGATCAAAATTAAAATTAAATCTTGTCAGTTTGTTCTCTCAAATCGAATTAACCATATTTCAGTGGTACAACGACTTTTAAGTTTAAAAAGATCGACAGGTGTGCTGAACATTTTGTGCTTAGATAAAAAATGTTTTCAACTATCATATGCAAGAATAATCAAATACTACTTTAGTTTGAATTGTATCTTGTTTTCAAGTCATCTCTTTTTTAGAAAAAAAAATTTATTCACAGTTGATAGGCAAAGAAAAGGTTTCGAGCGGAACATTGAAAACAACTTTCTTATTCGGTCAAGACTCAAATTTTATTGCTCTATGACCGAATATCTCGTAGTTCCGTCATCACTATACTTTAAAATATAATCCAATTATAGTCTTTTTCAATAAATCAAGAGTATGTTACATGAGTGCATTGAGAAGGGTCTTCATAAAGCTCGAAATACACAAATCTTAATCATAGATCCTGAAATCCAAAGGCATGAGAGATTCACAATTTTGACAGAAAAAATTTATTTTATTCAACATTCTTTCAGAAATTTCAAATATGAACAAAATGAGATGAGTATCTCTACTACAGCAGTTATTTTGAAACAATTTTCCTATGTTCCATCGTTTCATGACCTTTCTTTACATCATTCTAACCGAGAGTACAGATTAATGTCATGTTAAATTCTATTTCTCTTTAAGAAGCGAATAAAAGTTTTTTACGCACGATATAGAACGAAGAAAAGCCTCATTTGGTACACTTTTGGTTGTTATAATACTTTTTGGATGACTCGCGGGATCAAGCGATAGGATGGAATTATATCGTGAACTTGATGTACGAGAAGGATGATCTGTCAAACTAACGTTTGATTCACGTTTTCCTCGCAATCTCAACAGAGAAGGACGTTGTTCAACACTTGCTCGTTTAATGGGATCAGATGTTCTTTGATAAGATGATGACATTTGAATCTCAATTACGGATAGTAATTGCTGCAAACTATCTTCCGATGTTTTACCCGTTGAAATTAATGGAAATTGTTTGTCAACTGTTGACGGTCGTTTATTCATTGATACTGGTGTATTTTTTTTAATCGGAGGGATTGTGGTTGTATTTGTTGTTTTATGCAATTCTTTTTTAATTGCTGTGTCCACTTTGTTATCAGAGCTCTGATTGGCTAATGTCAAGGCGGAGAGACCTAAAAGATGTTTAAATAGATCTTAGATTGATTGCTTGAAGGCTGAGTCTCTTATAAAATTTAGTCACACGAACAAAGACCTACATATTTGCGTGACCACTGTTGTTCGATACTGGTTTCTGATTTCTGTATTATTTTATCACAATCGTTCAGTTCGGCTATTAGTGCTAGTACAGTTAATTTCGAACCTTGATAGTGGGCGCTGTCTCTCGAACAGTCCAGAACGTATTTTCTATCTGTTTTGCTGTTTTTCGTTCTGAAGGTTTTTAATTAGATGTCCTGTGAACAATTTTGAAACGTATGAATGAAAAATAGTATGGTAAGCGTTTGAAAATAAACTATACTTCATTTTTCAACAAAGTCTTTTTTCTTTAAATCTAAGAATTCAAATTTTTTTATAAAAAATTGGTTTCGATTCACGTCAATATTGGCACTGACGGCATTTGATACTATAGTTCTATACAAAATTTATACAAACGATTTGTTTTTAATGCTTTTAGGTCGATTATAATAGTCAGAACAAATCCGAAACATGATTTGAATAAACTGAAAAAGCTTAGAATAGAACCAAGGAACGACGTGTATGCAATTATCATTAAAATTTGCGGATATAGGATTTCTAGGAAGCCAAGTCTCTCGATTCATTCGGAATATTTTTGCATGCAGTACAGAACAAACTTGAGACAGCAAAATGAGATGTGTCCGAGGCGATTCATTTTACGAAAGATCCAAAACAGAGATCCGCATGGGTCGAAAATTTTTGGTCCAGCCCCGGCCCGATGAAAGTTTCCAGACCAGGCCCGGTTCGGTCCAACCAAACATAGAATTTATCTGGCCCAACCCGACCACTTTTTAAAATTTTCGGATGCCAAGCGTAATTTTTTCATTATTAGTTAAACGAAGTCATTAAGAGAGCCTTCACGAGGAACCAGTCTAGGTACCACCGTAAGAATGTCCGCTGGCAAATTCTTTTTCTTAATTATTTATATGTTATTCGAAAGAGCATTCAAAATGACTACTAATCCCACAATAACTCTTTCTGAAAGTGTTTTGCTAAGAGACTAGAGACAAAACATTCTATTGGGTGTCGACGATTAATCGAAAAAACGTGAATTTTCACTAATCTTTGTATTTTTTGATTAGTCCGATGACTGCTGCATGGCTCATTTGAAAGAGAGATGTTTACTCTATAAGATCATATATTTAGACATAGTAATGTGTTTAGCTATCTACGATTAAATAATAGACACTAAAAAATTTCATATTTTAAAATATGCATTTTTTCCAGTATTTTTTAAAAAAAGATCACGCATACGGCAGTCCCAAAATAAATCTTTTTCGTAGAGTAGACAATTCTGCATCGATTCATATACAACAGGACATTTTAAAACACGAGCATGATGTACTTTTATATCAAATATTGGAGATAAGTATCGGTTTCATCATTTTTTTACTTTTCTAAATTTTGATACAAATGTCAAAGATCTGGACATACTATATTTTTTGAGTCATTACAGATGTAGAGCAAACATTTTCCTACAAAGTGAGACGTTGGCGAGCTCGTTGCGATGTCTTTTTATGGTTTTACACACGTTTTACCACGAGCACTATATTTAAGGTCGATTTCCCACTGGTTTTGATTTTAGTTTCGGCAAAAAAGTTCACGTTTTTTCGATTAATCGTCGACCCAGTAGAATGTTTTGTCTCTAGACCCTAACAAAACACTTTCAGAAAGAGTTATTGCAGAGTTAGTAGTCATTTTGAATGCTCTTTCGAATGATATGTGAATAATTAAAAAAAAGAATTTGCCAGCGGACAGTATGTTCGGTGATGTGGCGGAAGCTCTCTTAAGATGTCACATAACAGTGACAATACTCTTTCTCGGTACTGAGTATACATATAAATTACAAATCTACGCATACTTAAAAATTCTGAGTTTGACCCGGTCGGAAAAAAATACTTTTCGGCCCAAGCCCGGCCCGTGCTGATCTCTGATCCAAAACGCATCTTTGATGTTTTCCTGTTGATTTTGCTGGTTTTAACAGATTAAAATCTTTCATACTTTGAACTGTATGTAAAAGTATTCCGATTGAATCGAGAGACTTGGCTTCCTAGAAATCCTATATCCGCAAATTTTAATGATATCTGTATACACATCGTTTCTCGGTTCTAAGCTTTTTCAGTTTATTCAAATCACGTTTCGGATTTGTTCTGACTATTACAATCAACCGAAAAATGTTAAAAACAAATCGTTTCTATATTTTTTCACAGGTCTATATTTCTAGCTTCAGGGTCGCAAAATTGGTATTGAAAGTAGTATTATATATGAAAAGAAACCCGACACGACTGCATTTTACTTACCCATTTGTTTTCTTAATTCATCTTCATTTGATATTCTACTCATTAATGTACGTAATGACGCCACTGTCTTCCAATCATTGATTGATTTAGCTTTCTTAATTCTTCTCTGTAATTGTTCATACCAATCGTCGGTAGATGGTGACTGACGAGTATTTATCGTACCTATCATTTCAAATGTATTTGCAGAATTAAGTTCACTACTTGGTTCAGTAAATATATCATTATTATAATAATTGAATGTTTTCAAAGGATGTTTTGATTGATAATCATCACCTATTGTTGAACGAATAAATGATGAAAATGTAGTAACTGGTGGATGTTGTTCATCGTTCGAATCAATTGATGAATGAACAATTAATTTTGATTTTTCTTTTAAATAATTTTCAATTGTATTAAAACCCATTTTTTTTGCTAACATATCGGGTGTATTTCCATCATTATCTTCAATATTAAATTTAATACGAAATTTTAATAAATATTGTACAATTTCTTTAATTAATTCAAAATTTCCATGTTCACATGTATAATGTAGTGAACATTGTCCACTATGATCTATTTTTAAAATATCAAGTTCACCTGGGTACATTTTTAATAGATGTAGTGCTTCTTGTGTACAATTTAATGTACACGCCCAATTGAAAACATTTTTATCATTTTTATCACACATATTAGGATTAATATTATACGAAAGTAATAGAAGAAATAATTTTAATCGTCTATTATCATATGTTAGTTTTCCTTTTGAACTATATTTCAAAGTTGTTACTAACACATTTTCACCCGATGAATTACAAACATGAATATTAAAACCATGTTCAACATAATAAACAACTTTATTTATCTGACATTGTTCAATAGCTTGAATTAGACAACGATTCGACGTAAACATTATTGTAGAAAATAAATATTTATTATCATTTATTATCTATAAGTAATGAAATTTAGAAGAAATAAGAAACTTTTAGTCAATATACCTTCTTATTGAATCTATCGTCCAAAAATCATTTAATAGTGGAAATTGACTGTATTTCAAAATATATTTTATTTTCTAGAACTTTTTCTGTCTTTTTTTTTCTCTCTCTGATTCCCTTTTTTTTCAATTATCGTTGATAATATTTATTTTTTTAACCAACACGAGTATCTAATTTTATTATTTAATTGCTAATAAGACATCGCGTAAGTGTCTGAAGTCTATAAAATTATTTTCTTCTCATGATTATGAAAAATATTATTAAAACGACGGCAAGATGGAATAATTATGTAGATTATTTTTATACAAACGAAGCCACATTTTCATATTATCAATAGTATAAAGAAAAAAAACAATTTTTGACGTGAAAAAATAAATTTTTTTCACTTTTGGCTTCCTTTCACGCTGTATCATAAATGATAATTCTCAATTCACTTGGTAGAGTGAGTGTACAGTAATGATCTTATTGTCATTTCTAACAGTTATGCAATAATGCTGTAATTATATCAAATAATATTTGTGATTCTGTGTGTGCTAAAATAACATTTTTCAAAAGTTTATCTCCTATTAGATTTGTGATATAAAGACAGATAAAAAATGACTATGACCTTGTTTTTAATTACACAATAACGTCAAAATTTGAATTATTTGTTAACAATTTTGAATTTATTATTACTATCCATTTTAAAATAGAAAATCCATTGATATCTTTTTAATAATTCGAGAATGAAAGAGTTTAGGATTTTATCATTCGATAAACAAGACTTGAGAGCACCTTTTTTAAAAAAAACAAAAACTAGCATATTGTTTTTTAAAATAGAATGTAGAGGAAAGTTGCATAGATGTGGCCACAATTCCCTAAGAACTGTTCTTCACTACCGTGAGTTGACCTCAAAATTATGCGAAACACAGGTAATCGGGCATGTACTGTAGTGGTCATATCCCCCCCTCAAAAAAAACCTCAAGAACCTCACGAAAGCTTATCAGAAAATAATCAAATTTATTTTGTTTTTATTAAAGAATTAGAAACTTCATATCTCGTTCAAAAACTATTTGAATCTTTTGAAATTGTCCGAATGTATTTAGTTTCATGTGATACGCAGAATTATGTCATTAAGAAACCATGATAGACCTGAAGTTTGAGCAGATATCCCAACTTTTTACTAATCTTACTTCTGTATAGACATAGTGTCATATAGTGTCTGTTTAATTTGTGGTGGTGTATTATATAAGAAATATTCTATCATAGTAGGTCGTTATGGCTTGTCCACGTAACGTGACACTTCGCTGATCAAGGTTTTTTTGAATTTTTTTCATCAAAAATCGATAGAGGCACATCATTAGACGCAGCTTTTCATGCTGATCACGAATCTGACTTTTTTTTTGAAGAAAAAATTAATTTTCAATATAAAAATTTTAGTTTAAAATTTTCAAAAACTTTAATTTCAATTTTCTGACATAGACATTTTGTTCAAAAAGTTTTAAAAACATACCATTGAATAGAGAATTCAATTCTCTACAAAATGGCTCATTTTGTTTTGAGTTCTATTTTTCAGTCGAGACACAGTGGCTGCTTGAACGTTTCAACTTCCACCTTGATCTGAGAGCCTCAGAGAATTTTTTGAACTTTATTTTCAACTGGAGTCTTTCCAGGAAACCTAGAACTACACAGATTATAAGTATGAAGCTTTTTGAACAATCTTTATTGCCTAAAAATGGTGTGACAAAGAAGTGTGTTACACCGTTACGAAAAATGCCACTGCGTTACATTTGTTTTTTGCATTTTATACCCAAGCAAAAATAGTTGGATGAAAACTTTTTTTATGGTTAAATAGCTCGTTCGGTGTTCTACAGAACTGACTCTTGAAACTTTTCAGCTGGATAGATACTTTTGCAAGAAATTAGAGCTTTATCACTAATTCTCAAATTTAGGGCCTTTTTATGTCATGCCGTTACGCACTGAAGAAACCTTTCTAAAAGGTCGAGACTCGAACAGAAATCACATAGCCATCTGTTCAGAAAATCAACAATCAATTTCCTCAACAAAAGAAAAAAACTATTAATCATAAAAAGTGGGATATAATAGAATTCGTCTGTTAACAAAGAACAGTTCAGTGGGAAATGATAAACGTGTATTATTGTGAATGATGAATGAAATCTTCAACAACAGGTTTGTTTATAATCATAGAAGTATCTGTGTGAAAAAGGACTTTCATTTTGTGTAAATTTTAGAAACTTGTATTCGATTATAAAAGACAACATTATTTACATGATCATTTTCTCAACACAAGCAAATATTAGAAAGAATAGTACGCTTTTTACAATATCTAACTATGTCTAAAATCTATTTATATTATTTTGACAAGAATATAAATTCTTTTTTACATAGTACATCGTCTATACTCCTTCTTTAAGCTTTTCCCACCCTTTGTGACGCATAATGTGATAGCTCAAAATTCTGTTTCGATCGCACTTATTTTTTACCTCCATGCACAAAGACACGTTTTCAGGACTTCAGCAAGTTTTCTAGGCTCTTGACGAGAAAGAATAAGCAGAAAAGTGGCATGTTCAGCTCTTTAAAAACTCTTCTTTTTAAACTTGCTCGCTCTCTTCTAAAAAGTATTGAGCGAAAAACAAAAACAACCCGAAAGCTTTTTTCAAAATACTTCTCATAGACTCATAGAATCTTCCCCCTCTTGAAATTTCCTAAACTCGCTTCTGACTTAGCATAGGTTTGCAGAGTGAAATACAAAAAACCTACTACTGTCTTGCTCTATATGTGCCTTAAGTTCATTTTAAAACATTACCTTCCAGTATCTATCGAGCCTGGGATTTTCAGGCAATACAAACAGCTCATTTAGGTCCTTACTTAACCATGTCTCCTGAATACTGACAGAAGGCCTCGAAAAATTTTGTAACTACGGTTTGTTCTGCACAACTAAAACCTAAAAACTTCGTTTTAGATTGATGTGACATTGTATTGACCAGGATCGGTTGAGTAGGCTTAATAAGAAAGACACATGATATTCGCACTTTCCATTTTAATGATTATACGACTATTTTTGAGAGCGTGACCAAAGTTAGAGAGAAGAAAGATTTATTTAAAAAGAATGATGATATAAAAAAACATCTTTCCTCTAATCTATAATTCTTTAAAAATGGAGAATAACCTATACAGAAAGAAAAACACGTTTCAATACACAGTAGAGAAGAAAACAACAATATATTGATGTATGATGTATGTGCAATACAGATGGAATGATGATGTTACAGTAATAATAGAAATCTAGTGGGAGTTAAAATAAAAAACTAGTGAAAATTCAAAGCATTAATTAACCTAGCAACAGTGATTCAATCATAACTGAAGCAACAATTAGAGCTACATTCGCCAAGAGCACAGACTCGCCTCAGTAGCAAAGCAAAAACATTTTAAAAAGTAATATTCAACTGTTTCATTTGTTTTACAGTGACTGCACAGTGGACTAGTAGAGTAATTTTCCTCATATTAGTTGGGCAGAAAAATAACTACAGTCCAACGGATCCTGTTCATATTGATTATAGTCAGATATAAATGGATCCGATTCGATTGTGTAACCGACTTGCGGAAATGAGATTTGAGCGAAATCCATTACATTACAAATTCTAGTAGATCCGATCGAACATATTTAACACGGGTGCCTAGTTTTATGAAAAGATTGTTAAATTTTTCCGCGAAAGCTGTTGAATTTTGCTTCTTTTTTTCTAGCGCTTGCGTTATAACGCAATTATTCACTGGTAGGAGTTTAGCTAGTGGCGTCATCTGATATTTTGACTTTCAGAAGTATATTATCGGTTCAACTAGACTGCTTCTACGCAGCGCTCTGCTTTTACAATAAAACTATGTGTGATTTGAGTTGTTTACTAAGTGCATTATTATGTTGATTGTTCTACTGTATATAGTACCTGTGCTTCTTATTCTCAGATGTTTTGGAAAAACCAAAAAATTCAGATTTATTTACCACTTAGTTACCAAAATCGCTTTCAGAATTGCTTTCAGCCGATAATCTTTCGAAAAATTATGGACTAATAAGAAATACTTCTAGTTATTTGTTTATTTATTTATTTCTAACAGTAAAAAGTAGGTTTATTGTTTGTCTATTTGTTTATTTTTATTTATTTTTTAATTCACATGCTACTAGCTTGCTCAATTGGAATTGAATAACTTTCACATAAAGTAAAGGTTTGCTCTTGGCTGACAAGGAAGAATACGTCAGATTTGAAGTAATTAATGATTTGAAGATTTTCTGCAGGCGAAGGAGAAACGGATACAAGAAGGAGATGCTGCATATTCTCTTGGGTTGTCTTCTTAGTAAAGTAGTAGTCGTATATTGTTCCATGATATCTCTCTACTAGTAGGTACCATGCACATATTCTTGTGATCTTCCCCGATGCGACTCGTTCTTGACAGCAATTTTATTTTCAAGTTCGATTGTTGGATTAATTCGGTTAACTACATGTTGAATTGAATTAAGTGTTACTAACAACTGATGGCTAACTTTGTTTGCTAAGAGCGATCGTAAACCAGAATAATTCTACTTTAAATTAGCACAGTTTATTCTCTAGTCGTATCTAATCTGCTTTCATTATAGTGCCGAGAGTAGAATGTACTTTCATTCCTAGTAGAAAACTAGGATATAACTTATATTTCAATGTACTATATATACTTGTGAATAAAATTTTGTGATAGATACTTTGCTTTGTTCAATTTTTCAGGCAATGAAAAACAAGTTTTCATCTGTTTTAGGTCACGTTCGCTCGCTATCACACACACACACGCACTCAGCAACATTTATCTTGTATTCTAATCATTGTGCTGTATTTAATCATTATATTTAAACATTCAGTTATTATTCTTTGCTGTTTTTCATCTGTCTGGAGCCCTAAAACAGTGTATCATCAGTTTCTTTTTGTCGGTTATTTTACAAAGGTAGATGTTTGGATTTTAGGTCTAACATTGTCAAGCCTAACTGATTTCTTTATCACATAATTGTCAATTCTTAGTTTTTTTCTTTCAGCTTTTTAATCGTGAAGAATGTCCACAGCAACATCGACACAACCACTCAACTTTGGACCAGAATGGCACGTGAACTTACATCATAACACTATTTTTGCATTATTGACGTTCATTTATTTTAGGCTTCGTGTATTATCGACAGGTGAACATTCAACTTCTCCCAATTCTTCTTTGTCTTCCACATCGAATGCAACAAATTCTGTCTTCAAATTTTCTGCCGCAAAATATCGCTACTCAAAAGAGGAGATATTATCATTGAGAAAGTCTGTTACCGAATCGATATCAGATGAAGTTCGAAATGAAATAATTGAAAATTTAAAAGATGTTGATTCCGTTTATCGACCAACAATTATTGATCCACTTTCATTAACGACACCAACCACAGAAGAACTAGTAAGCAAGAACTAGACGTGTATAAGAAGCAGAAACTGTTAATTGTGTATAATTTTAGCTTCATCTGAATTCTGTAACAAGTTTTGTGTCTGGAAGAACGAGAGATGGAAATCGTATGGGTGGAAATCAATCGACTGGAACTACCGATGGCGGACAACGACGAGGGGGACTACAACAAAATGGATCAAGTAGGGGCGGTCAAAATGGCAGCAGAGGAAGAGGTAAAAAGATCCTTTTTTCTTACCACGTTAAACGCAAAGATCTAATCAAAATTCCTAATTCTTTTTTAATATATCTTTTTGATGTTTAGTAGCTGAGACTGTATCTAAACTTTGTTTTATGTTTGTTAAGGACGTGGCAGTGGACAGAATGATGGATATTCGAATCGAGGCGGCATCGGAACTTCGGAAGATGTTGAAGGAGATATTGGAAGTTCTTATGGAAATCGTCCTGTTAATAATTATTCCAGACAAAGATCATACGAAGATCGGTATGCTCCGTTTTGTTATCATCATTAGAAAAATGTCAATTTTTCCTTGTGTCTTGCAGTGATCAATCTCAACAACAACAAACATTTCGTCGTGGTGGGAGTGGTTTAAATCGTCAACAAAATGATAGTGGCGGTTGGAGACGACCTCGAGAACAAAATGATTTTCCGCCAGAGGGGCTTGAAGATGAGGAATCATGGGATGAGCCACAAGAACATGCAGTTAACAGTACATCGTCATGGACATCTTCGAATAACAGAGGATCTGGTGGAGGAATGCGTCGCCAACAAGAATCACGAACAAAATCAGATGAAAAATGGGGTGATGACAAAAGTATGTTTCGCTGTATTTGTCTCACTTCACAAAAGTAAGACAAAATATCAAATAACTTATTTTACATTTTAAAGATAATTATTATGGTGGCGACACAAATGGTAATAATCGCGGTTGGAGATCTGGTGGCCCGGGCTCTGAACGGAGATATGATGATCGAAATTCGGATTCAACGGATCGTGGAGGGTAAATTCAGTTAATCTTTGTTAGAAGCATAGAATTTGAATTCTGTATTTGTTTTAATAGACTACGTCGTGTGCCTCAACGAGTACAACAGAATATCACTAGAAGACCGGATCAACAAGATCGTATGTATTTCTTTGGCATTTAGAAATGTTAGTTGCGCTTATAGAGAAGAGTTCCTATAAATTTTTCTGTTAGTAATAAGGGAAAAATTTGGCATGACCATTGTTTTTTTTCTTTAGGTATGCCTGAATGGATGGATGATGGCGAGGCAGATGGAGGAGGAATGACATTTGACCAAGGAACATTTATATCGACAAAAGTACGTTTATTCTGTTTAGCAACTTTCATTTTCTCATAACGCTGTTAATTCTATTAGCCTCAAGAGAAACCATCAGTAGCATCTCTGTCTGAGAAAAAATCAACAACAACGTCTACAACTCAAAATGATAACCATACCAAAGAAACAACAAAAAATAATCTTGAACGAAATGTAAATTGGTTTTATTTGTACTATTTTTAATGACTTCATGTTTCTTTCTTACAATTTTTCAGATACAATCGTCAAAGGAACAAGCTGAAGTGGAGAAAAAAGTTATTCCGCTAACACCCGCTGTTTCAATTCCGTCTACGATGGAATTAACAAAAAATCCAGAATCAGAACAGCAGCAACCAAAATTAACAGCTGTTACATCATTAATCAATAATACCCCAATACTACCAGTTGTAGTAGAGAATGAGGGAAATAAATTTACATCTATAGGTACGTGGAAGCTGTAGGATGGAAACGACATCTAGAATCACTGTATATTCCAGTATTTAGAAGCTAATTCTTTATCGAAAAAATGCTGAAAAGATGATTGTTATATAAAGGATACATTCTGTAATGAAAAATGCTGAAAAGCTAAGGATTTATTCTTCGAAATAGTTTTTTTCTGTTATTAGTGCACTGAAAATAAATTTTCATTTTCCTTTTAGTAAATCCACCTGTCAAAATACCTATTCAAACAAAACCAAATATAAATTGGGATGAAGATGCCTATCAGCCGGCTGACATCGCAGCGAAGGTTATTGAAGCGACGCTGGCAGAGGTAAGACGCTGATACAGGAGACCATGTTACAGTATTAAAATCAGATTAAATTATCTGCAGGATATATATATTTATTCTCTACAGAAATCAGTTTTGTTTTTGCATACAGAAGTTATATATTGTTGATTTTTTCTGCAATTAGTAAAAATGTAAGCTTTTTTCATCTATCACACTTATCTATGTTCATGCACTGAAAAGCTTCTTAATTGTAATACTGCACCATCCACTCGATTACAAAAGTGTGCAAAAATAACCAGCTTCGAATATCACGTGAAAAAGATTCTATTTTCCATTTGTTTTGTTTATCGATCTTTACTGCTTACGGCCAGCATCCGTGATCAAGAGGTTTTCATCAAATTGCAGTTATTTTTAGTTTTTTTATGCGTTTCAGGATCATGACTATGTTCCTTCAAGTTATCTTGCCGATGTCAATTTGAAACAGTGGTATTATAAAGATCCTCAAGGTAATACTCAAGGACCATTTTCGTCTCAAGATATGGAACGATGGTTCTCAGCTGGCTACTTTACAATATTATTACCGGTTAAACGTATTGGTGATATGCATTTTACAACCATTCGAGATTTAACAGAAAAATTAGGACATTTACCATTTACAACTGCAAGTGGCACAGTTCCTTCTCTCGTCACAAAACAACAGCCTGTCGCCATCATTGAACAACAACAACAACAACAACAGCAACAACATCGATCGTTACTAGAACGAATGCAAAATAATCCTTCGAATCAATCGGGTACAACGTTGAATACAGCAACTCACACACTTGGTCTTCAGCAACAATCATACCAACAAAGACCATCATCACAGCCTCAGATACCGGAACATTCACTATTGTTCAGGTGATGAAAGCTTTCTTTCGTGAGTGAACACTCTGTTTACAAGTAGCGTGAAGAGATTGCGTTTCCAATAGTTGAGCGAACAACGGTTTTAGTAGCGACACACTATCACGTTAGAACGCTGTCAGATGTGGTCATGCAATAGACTGACGTTTCTACAACAGATTATTAGTTTTTATTATGTATAATTCACTTCTATAAAAAATTCGCTCAGACCAATTCATCTTTTTTTTTTACTTTAGACATCAATCATCCGTACCAGATGGGAATCATCCTGATTTGACATCACCCTCCTTATTTTATTCTTCACAGTCACCATCTTCATTGTCTTTTCAACCATTTCTACAACACCCACACATACAAAGTCAAATTTCATCTTTTTTATCAGCAGCTAATGTATCCGAACCAAATATAGCAGCTTCGTCATCAATTCCACAGCCAACAACCAATGTATTACATCAACGTAGTTTATCAGCAATACCAGTACCACCTTTAACAAGTAATCTATTGTCACAAACTCAACAACAACAGCAACAACAACAACAGATACCACAAACTCAGTCATATGTTCAAAATCGAGTACAGCAAGGCACTCAAGAACAACAGCATGCAGGCATGGATAGGAATTACATATTTAAAACTGAAAAGGGACTTCTCGATTTAACTAAACAAAGTTAATTCAACTTTTTTACGAGTTGTCTTGTCTCACTTACTGCTACGCGAATGATATCTGTACGCTTGTGCCAATAATGTTTTGGCTTACTTTTTAGGTCTACAAACGGGTCCGTCTGCAGATTTACTTCAAGAAATTCAACGACGTCTAATTCTTGGTCAACAACACCAGCAAAATTTATTTTCTTCCTCGGGCTCTTCTCAGCAACAATATGTACAACACACAGCCCCCGATATTGTTCAACGTTTAGAAGAAGCAATGAAAAATCATGAACAGCGTGAAAAAGAGAAACAAAAACGTTTCGACGATGAAAAACGACAAATTGACGAAGAAAAAAGGAAATTAGCTCAACAATATGAAGAATTCAGATTAAAACAACACTTAGAAGAAGAAAATAAAAGACAACAGCAAATAATGATAGAGAAAGAATTACAACGCCAACAAGAAAGTAAAAAACGCGAAGATAATCAACAAAAAAATTTATTAGCCGAACAAATGAAAGGCATGTTAAAACAATTTGAAGAAAAAAAACAACAGCAACAGCAACAGCAACAGTCGTTGTCATTATCTTCACCTATCCAACAACAGCAAAATTCATTTTTAACAACTATCAAATCGCCATCACAAAAACTACAACAGCCAGTTGCGGCGACCATATGGCAAAATCTACCAGCTCCTGCCACTGTTGATCCAATGTTAGCCTACCAACAATCGTATGAATTTCAAAAACAGCAACAGACAAAAATCGAAGCGCAACAGTAAATGAGCATACTTTCTTATCTAGTCTTATCTATCTATGTTTTTATTTTAGAGCTGAAAATATTCGACGTTACGAAAATCAATTGCAACAATCACATCAGATACAACAACATCAACATCTGTATCAAGCACAACAACCATCTATTCATCATACCCAATTTAAATTACCTGAAACAACTAATTGGGCGAGACAAACTTCGAATGATGCATTTCAACATAAACCACAAATGAATTTCGTTGACATTCAAAAAGAAGAAGAATTAAATTTAAAAAATCAAGTAAAAAGATTCTTTTTTGTTCATATCTTGCATACAAATTATCTGTTAAACTTTATTTCAGCCCAAATCCGAACCAGAACCAATTTTTCAACGATCAAGAAAGGACCAACCACAAGTACATAAACCGAATTCATGGGCACAAACGTTATTTTCATCGTCATTATTAAACGAATATGAACCGTCTGAAAATGTGCATCAATCTTCACCTTCAGCCTCTGATGCTACAACATCCAATATTCAGAATTACAATCAACAAGCAACATCTGCGGTACTATCCATTTTAAATATTAATGTATGTTGTGGACCGTATCGTGTCTTGTCGTTTGCTTGTGTTTAATTTTGCTTTGGTTGAATGTTTTCGGTTCATTAACAAAGTGCTGTGTTTTAAAACGCAAACGTTAAATCGAATCAGGTTTTTGCCATGTGCATTTGTAAATTACGTGGTAATTCGTTAACTAGTAATTGTATGACATCTAAGTGTCATAAATGTTGCACACTTCTACTTTATATGCTTTGCTAACACTTTGAACATGTTTTAGTCTTATTTTTTCTTTTACTGTGATAAACGATAATTACGAGAAGTGTTTCTTAGCCATGGTGAATATTTTGAACGTCGCATATTTTTCTCTCGTATTTATTTTAAATTTAAATAATCAGAAGGCTTCTCTAATATATTTGACAGAGTAAATTAGTTCATACTGCTTCTGATTATCCATACAAAAACAAAAAAATACATGTTGATAATCAAGAAAAAGTATGTTTTGTGTAGCGCAATTATCATCTGCTTTGACTATTTATCGTAGAAGTCAATTATATTTCCAATGGTGATTTTTGATAGTTATTTCATACTGATTTTCACCTTATTTAAAGCTTTCTACAGCTTTGAGTTTATTCTAATTTCTTCATGCTTGTTGTGTCTAGCGTTAAATGTTTTTTATATATACATAGAGTGGTATTATTTAATGAACAATTAGCATGACGCTTTTTAAGTCTAATTTCCTGTTTTATCATTTTTTTTAGCCAAAAGCTAATGAAAAACGGGATCATATTAATCAACGTTTATCTCAACCTATGGGATCCGGTTCAACAAAACCAGCCTGGAATACCACTATGATACCCACACAAAAATCATTACACGATATACAAATGGAACAAGCAGCGTCAAATCAACAACAACAACAACTCGTAAGTTTTAGCAAACGTAACAGACGTTTATTGTTCTGTAACTTCTGGTAGAATCCTTTACTGATTCTTTTCATTTAAGAACGAATTATCATCATCGAATCAGAAACAACAGCATCAACCTACTTTCGGTCAAATTGGAACGAGTTCTGGAGGATTCAGCTTTTCCTCGGTACCTCAGACTGTTCAAACATTAGGAACAACATCATGGGGAGGCATATTCGAGCAACCTCCACATCAACAACAACATCACCAAGCAACCTGTTGGGAAGAACAATTGAATACAAAAAAATTTAAGTAGGTTTAATTTTTTCTGGCGATATATCAGTATTAACAGATGACCCATTTTTGTTACGCACCGCTTTGATAAATACGTCATTATGTGCTTTTTTTAGTTCATCATCAGCTCCATGGACGGAATTAAGTGTATCATCATCGCCATTATGTCAGACCAATCCGTCCCCGTCGTCGGCTCGCAATGGTGAATTATCTAAAGTTGAAAAGGAAACCAAAAATTTGTTTGCTACTCCACGTAGTATTGATGCATTGTCCAAATGGACACAAGCTCAGTTTGAACATAATTCACACGCTGTTGATGGTACGTGCGGATGAGTATGAGATATTTTTTCCCTATATTTCTTTGTTTGTTTTCTAGTTCCAACATTAGTATCACTACTAAAAGATATCGATAATGTTGATGAAATTGTTGAGTATGTACAACCTTACATCATGGGCTCAACCGATAAAGCAAAACAATTTGCAAATGAATTTGTTGCTAAACGAAAACAATTACAAAATGCTGAAGTACGGAGAAATAGTTTTAAATTTTTTAACCACTTAAAACAGATGGATGTTCGCAGCTTTTTTTTACTGGAAACTTTTAATTATGTAAATCTCTCTTCTTCACTAGTAACACAAACTGTTATCAATGTTCATATACTTATAATTTTTTAGTGTTTGTTCTTTCTAGCCGACTCTTGATAGTCAAGATTTAGATGAATTGGCCATGTCAACAACTGATGAAGGTTTTCAATTGGCTTCGTCAAATGGAAATAAGAAAAAACAGAAAAAAGTGAAAGGTCAGAAAATTGATGTTAAACAACTTGGTTTTACGGTACAAAACGCAGACAATCGTGGTGAAATTGAAAAAGTGTCAATGTGAGAACTGAAACAGCAGCGATGTGTGTCTGTGTGTGCCATGTCTAACGGAACATTTTTCTCTTTCTTTTTTCGTTGTTGTTCCTGTTGTTGTATACGTGTGAAAGCGCAGCTTTTTGTGATTTTCTCTTTCGAAAAAATAAAACCCTCAGCCATAATGTACATTTTACTATTTTCGATTGGTATAAGAAACCATACCAACCATCATCCCATCCTTCTTATTTGTTTTATTTTGTCGAGTTTGTGTATTTCCAAAAAGTTTATAAAAATACACATACGCAGAGATGTTCATTTTATCATCATTTTAATTTTATTTCTCTCTCGCTGTGCGTGTGTGTGTGTGTATAAGGATTTCACAGTATTCTTTTAATACGTTTCATGCGACAACATGTTCGCTATTCATTCTGGTTTTTCTTTGTGCACCTTGTTTTTTTGGTATTTTTTTCTTTGTTTTTTTGTCGTTTGTTATAAGCAGAAAAATGATGTGTTTTTGTCTTCGTACTCTTATTATTATTGTTATTGTCTTCTTATCGTCTTCATTCACATTAACCATTTACTATAATGGGAAACAATTTTTTGGTCTTTTCTCTCGCTGACGTTTTTGTTTGGTTTTGTTTTTCGTGTTATTTTTTGTCATAGACATGTACTACTGAAACTATTGTATTGTTCTATTTCTATTTCACATTGTATATTTGAACAACAAAGTGAGAAAGAAAAACAAAACAACCAGATAAAAACAGAACTTGTAGCTTGATGGAAAGTTGAAGTTCCGTTTGGTGTTTTATTAAAGGTGTAGATCTGATTTGCGGGTTGAAACTGAACTAACTAATGTATAACCATTGGTTATAAATGATTTATTTGTTCATAGCGGATGTGAGGATAACACATAACGTATTGAACGATCCAAATTTTGTTATTACATTTGACATACTTCAAACTGTATTGATGAATCGGGCAACTTTAGAAAATTATTGTTTAATAAAAAGACATCTCTCTTGAACAAGAATAATTCGAAGAAAACAAATATAAAACGTACTTCTCTTTAGCAGTAGCTGCCATTTTCAGTCAAAAAATAGAAAATTTTTTTTCATGGAAATGTATAGTATGAATTGTGTTCTTTTATGTAGATACAATATTAGAACAAACAAGAGTCGCTTTGAACTTCCTTTGGTTTGCACAAAAAAGCTGTTTTGTGTTTTTTGTTCTTGCAATAAGGTTTTCGAAAAGAAACGATTAAGAGGAAATAAGTTGAGTTCTATAGGTAAGCGACCATGGCGATTGTAACGGACATATTCAGAACCCTGTGAGAGCATATGCGTCATATGTCAAATGAGAAAAATGAGCCTTTTACGAGAAAACATGCTTTTTTGAAGTTTTCTGCTTCCTGTTACGTATAATTACAAAAATGAAACAAATTCACAAGTAGACGAAGAAAAACACTTAATCAATCGATACATCAAACTCGTAGAGATACAAAATTTCAATTTTAATCCAGTACGTGTACTGAATATTTCGGCTTTTTACATAGTAAAATTTTTGTACCTGTGCGAAAACTTGTTCATTGGTTAGGAAACTTCTCCACATAAGGTAACTTGACCAGCTGGCGTTGTCAGAACGTGTTCAACTGAAAGTTCATATTAGATCTTCAGACATTCAGTTTTCAGAAAAGTAATTGGACAAATGTCTCGCCATTTTTCTTGTGATAGAATACATTTCGGAAAAATGAAAAAAATCTGTTGAGAATGAGTGAATCTTTGCTATGCCCTAAAAACTAAGTTTGTAAAAAGAGAAAATCTGGTATTTTTCGACAAATGTAAATCACGGGCTTGTCAAAATCAAAAAGCAAGAAAGGTCTCTTGTAGATAAACTTTTTTTGCCCTTGGTTTCTGCAACAGAATGTAATAAAAAATGTTGCCAGACGAAAAGTATTTTTTTCCAGAGCAGGAAAGTGTGTGACCCCTTCATCATGTTCCCCGATTCCTTATATAAATTTTTTGTAGTACATTACGAAAACGTTTTTATGGCATAAGATTGTAGAACAGACAATTCTCTACACAATAAGATGTTAGAACAAGGTAAACTACTTAACAGTCGGAAATTATTCGTGTTTTTTTTTAACATCATTTTTTACCCAAAAGGGATTTTGGGAAAAACACAATTTTTTATAAAGCAGGCTTTTGGTGAAATTAAAAGTTTGACCACTTTTTGCAATGCAAAAATAATCTAAGATCGTCTAGTTGGTAGAGAAAATTCTGCTTTATAAACTAATAAGTAAATCAAAGTTTAATCTTTCGATTTGAAGTGGTTATTGTCAAAATGAAAAAATATCCAAATTTTTATTGTTACAGCCTAAATTTTTGGTGATAATAAAGATTCGCTCACTGCCCGAAGACTAAAAGCGATATACTATTTCTGAACACATTATTAGAAAGCTCCCGAAGTATACATTCAAGATAACTATTTTTGATAGTCTCGGAACGTGCTTTACCACAAGAAAAATGGAGAGATATTTGTCCAGTTACTTTTGTATCGTAGGTTACGTTCACATATATGTCGCACAAAGTTCTAAACGTGCCCGTTAGAACCGTGATGGTCCATTACTTACAGAATTCCTTTTATCTGGCCATAATTTATACTTTTCCATTAGATTTGAAAACACGGACTTTCTTTGGAGTTTTTCTCGAAATATTTGTTTAGTATCGCATTTCAGTTCAGTACATTACGATCCCTCAAAAACCTCATCCGATCTGGTTGAAAATTTTATCAGAAGTATCTCAGAACATTTCCCATGTGTCACTTTTTTTCTGTTTTGTATTTCCTTTCCTTCTTGAGTTATAGCGAAAAGACTAAAAACCCACTAAAAATCGAGTTTTTCAATTTCAAAACCCTATAACTCAGAAAAGAAAAAAGATAAAAATTAAAAAAAGTGCGCTACCTGGGAAATGTTCTCAGATATTTTTGATAAAAGTTTCACCCGATAGGATGAGATTTTTAACGGGTCGCAATGTGCCGAATTGTAAAACCGAGTTTTCCAGAATTCTCGTGAAGAATGATGGCTGAAGAGTTGTGACAAAAAAGTAGAAAAGAGTTTCTGATCTATCCTCAAAATATCAAGCCTTGATCATTTTTTGTTTCGTTTTGACAACATTTCCTCGAACACTCCTAAAAGAGGGTAGGGATACTCTTAAGCTAAGTCTCCCATGCAGATTACATAGGAGCAAAAGCTGTGATATATATATATATATCGTACCGAAGTTACTACGCGTTAAAGTAAGTTTCATTCAGGAGAGATTTACTTTTGATCAGGTATAATCTAATTGTAACATAAACGCAATATAAATCTGTTGGTGAGAATGCAAACAGTGGAGACCACAAGAAATATCCATTCGTTTTTTTATCAATCAAAGATTGTTTGCATTTTTTTGTACGAATGTTTGAATAAAATGTTGAAAACAGCGATGAAATTACAAAAGAGAATGAAAATTATGGATCGATAACTTTGTCAATCAAAATAAACAAAATTTTGAAAAACATTTTTATTTCTACAAATTTTTCAAAAAGAAAAGAACCAAATCGCTCTATTTTTCGAAAGGCTTAAAGCGAAAATGGTGACCGAATGGATCTCATATTTACTACCTATACAGTCGGTTTTGTCCAAGTTCAACATACATAAACTTTCTGGATGCATGTTGCAACTTGGACAAACGAAATTTCAAGTTATTGCCTAAATAAGACTTGGACAAGCAAACTTATACAAAATGATTCTGATTAAATTATTGCTTAAGTTGAATAGACATCTTTTCTTTACGAAGATTCTTCTAATTCTCAAACATTCCTTGTTTTGGCAATACTAACAACAGACAAATACTTTTAATTCAATATGAGCCAACCAAAAAAGTAAAAAATAAAATTTTTATTATCTGATGTTAAAAATCACACAAGAATAAAATAAATTATTTGTTGTCACATGTAATTGAATGATGACATCTTGTATTCGAGAAATAATTTAGGAAAATGTCTAAATTTTTTTTGTTAGCTCGTATTGATTTAAAAATATTTGTCTGTTGTTAGTGTTGTACAAGATAAAGAAAGTTTAAGAATTAAGAGAAGTCCTCGTTACGAAAAGATATTTGTTCTACTACGTACATGTAATAAGAACCGCTTGTCTAAGTTGCAAAATAAATTGAGAAAGTTTGTCTATGTTAAGCTTAGTCAAAACTGACCGCCTACATAGTAACACTAGTAGCAATGTCAGGTGTAGGAAAGATATCGGATTATTGAAACTGACATTTGTTCGCACTATTGATATTCTTTCTGCTTCCTCTGAATCTTATATCAGAAAAGGATTCATGGCACCGCATGATATGACGTAGAAAGATACACAATGTTCCATTATTTTTGGATCATCCAGTATTACTGACGAAATGTTAAGAATGATTTTATTTTTCGATGAGAATTAATTAAGGTGAAGATGATGAATATCTGCTAAAAACATTGTTACTAATCAATTAGGTCACGTATTTAAATGACAATCTGTTCCTTTTGTCGTAGTTATACTTCTTGTTTGTCTTTATGCTATGTTATTTTTTCAAATAATCAAACAATGTGTGAAAGAATGAATATTCAAGCTTTTTTAGAGCGAAAAATTCTCTATATTTTACAGTCTAGAATAAAATTTTAAGGCCTGATCGGAGTGGCTAAAAATGAGTTGCAAAGTTTTTCCAGTATTTCTAGTTTATCGGTTAATTATAAAATTCAGGTTTTGTGCTGCAAAACGACTATTGGACGATTTTTCTTTTTCATAATTTTCTACCAAAACTGTGTTATTCTAGAAAATTTTCAATTAATATCTCGCTTGAATTATTGTATGAGAATTTTTATTTTATAAGAAATCGATAAATTCATTCCTAAAGACATTTGAAGATATTTCTTGTTTTTATGAATCTATATGCAATCATAACTGAACTATCTATTGGTATTGCGGTGAGTACTGTACATAGGATATATATTTCACACCGGAAAAGTGTTCTTTTTTTATTTACACAAGAAAACGCGTGTATATTATTTAAAACATAAATTAGGTTGTTCTTTCTTTTGTATTTCTCTCATTTAAATTAAAAAATAACAATACAAATCGAAGTTCATTTGCTGAATATGAGCTTTATTTTCTCTCTATCTCTGTCTCTTTTTTTTTTTAAATGAACAGAAATTCTTCATCCTCTTCCTTTATTCTTTGTAATAATTTTTATCTTGTTCTTTGTAAACAATATACAGAAAAAAAATTAGTTTACTTAGTGTAAATACATAAACATTTGAACTTGACGAGAAAAAGATGAACTAGTATATCTAGTGTACATGAGATATGATGTTAAAAAATTTGCTAAAGATGCCGACATCAGTGTAATCCTTTTTGTACATGTAAGTAGAACATATTCTTTTCTTTTTTTCTCGTACATGTCAAACATAACCTTTTTTAAACACAATCTAATTCTAGTCATCTTCTAATTTATCTTACAACCTGTACATAATTATGACAGAAATCAAAAGTCAAAAAACAACATTATGAACAATATGTATTTTGTTCTAATTGTACCATTAATTAACTGAGAGAAGAAGATGACATTGTCGTCGTATATTTGCGCTGGCTTAAATTAAAATGTATTTGTTTATATTCGACTAACCATGAAATCATCAAATAGTGGTTAGTGTGTGTGTGTGTGTGTATGTGTGTATGGTATGTGACATTGATTCTCAATGACCTAGAAAGCAGACGACAACACATATAGACAATACCATTAACAACAATTTTTTTGTTTGATGTAATTTACTTTATATCGAAAGAATAATCCAAAATTTTCAATTCTCTATTACTGTTTTATTCACACATGTAATCGTTGTTATATTTTGATTAAATTTTATTAATTTGTACGTGCAAATTATTAACATAAACTACTTTTCGTTAGTGTGACAAAAATAAAAGTTTTATTCTTTCATATTTTAACAGAACTTTATAGTCTATATCATTTAATAGAACTTTGTCTTGTTGTACTCACATATTGACACATGCTCGTAATATTAACTTTTATTCGATGCGGTTCCACTACTAATGTTTAATTACGCTTATTATATCGAATTTTTAATTATTCTATATTTAAACTATGTTAATTCAATATCTCATATGACAACGGCAATAGAAATGCCTGTTGTGCCATTAACTAGTAAGTAATGGTCAATAATAATGACGTTATTGTTATGATTTTGTGGCTCTAATTTTCATGAAGATGAGTTTATTGAAATTTTTTAAGTCATATCAAACTATCAATTCTATTAATTAAACATTAAAATATTTCTTATTTAAGATGCCATGACTGCTATTTATTGTCATGAAACGAATGAGAGTGATCAATTAACAATACGATGTAAATCAAATGAAAAAATTCGTATGTTAGATGCATTTTATGCACGAGCTCAAAATCGAACTCGTCCATATTGTCAACAAGGTTTTGATATCAATGATTGTAAAGTACACACAAGTTTTTCATCTGCTTGTTCTGGTAGAGAAAATTGTACAATATATCTTCAACGAACATGGTTATCCGAATGTTCATCAAACAATGGAAATGAGAATGAATTATGGTCAGATTATACTATGGCATTTTATGAATGTATTTCAGGTAAGATTTTTTGATTTATATTCAGAACAATTAATGTTCAGTCTCTAGTCGTTGTTGTTAATTTCAGTAATATCTAAAATTTCTTAACTTATAAGATTAAAAATTTCAAATAAAAGAGTTAACTTTTCAGATGAGACATATAAAAGTCGATGTTTTATAGTGCAATTATCCATAATTCATCATTTGAATGTGCTGATAATATACTGCTTCTTTTAAAATTTGACCACATATTTCTGTAAGATGTAACTTTTGAATTTTCATATCATTTTCTTTGTATTGTAATATAAATTATTTCAATTAGATAGCGTGGAACTCCCTATGGTGTTTATCTAAAGGATAAATCTATTGTTTTTGGTCATCATATAAATAAATATCGATAGCATTCTCATTACAATGAGATTAGATCTTCTCCTCCTCCACCTATTTTAATTCTTATTACCTCATTCTCTATATTCCTACTATGACCATTGATTTTGTTATTGTTGATATTAATAAATGAATTGAACACACCTAGACTTGTTCAAAAAAGACTCATTCATTTTATTACATGTATGATTATTTAATTCACACTATCGTGCATCACGTAAAAGAGATTAAATTAGTTAAAAAGACCTTTAGAATGGGAGAGAGAGAGAGAGCGAAAGAAAAGGTGGTATCGTCCTCATAGATAGGAAAAGAAAACGACACGTAAGTCTAGCTCATAAACAATAGTATAGACAAAACTTTGTTGACAGAACAATGGATAGATCAGACATGTCGACAATTACACTAGATGTCGTATTAATTCATTGATTTATTGTTTGTTAATTACTGGTAACTACCATATTATGTTACCTCATTCAAAAAAATAGAGACTTTTTATTGATAATGAGGGTATGAATATTAACATGTGTCAAATCAACGAAAATGTGTCTTTTCGTGAATCAGTAGACATATAACTTCAAGGATCTTTCATTCAACAAAAAAACATGTTTCATTCTATTACTTGCCATTTAAATCGTATTTTTCTCGAAGAATAGTATCAAAAGATAAATGGTCACTGTTATCATTAGTCTGTTTTAGTAAAAAGTTATTTAGATCTTGCAAATAGTTGAAAATGTCAGAAATATGTTTTTTGAGAGAAAGAGATGAGAAAACAAACATTCTCTCAAACACTGTTAAAAAATTGTGTTCTTGAGTTGTCCCATATAAAGAGCTAAAATATTGAAGAACTAAAATCTGTTCTTCAGAAATAAAGAGCAAAACCTTGCTCTTTAGAAAACGACAAACTGAATATTGATCTTCAGCTTCACGAAGAACTCAAAAGTTTTGTTCTTTAGACAATTCAGTTTTGTTCAACTGTTTTTTCAATTGGCAACTGTGTTTTCAACAACTTTTTATTTTTCAATTTTTTAGATCTCTATATGGGACATTTGTTCTCTGAAGAACACAGATTTTTCTCTGTGAATACTGAAGTATAAGCATTTTGACTATCAAATTTTACATTACAGTCTTAACTACAGACAGAAGCAGATTTCTGGTTCATTAGTCCCTCTTATTTTAATATAGCCTCTTGTGGTTATTTAGATGTGTTTATCCACAATATTTGCAGTGATAAAGAATTTACAAATGTATGGGGTACATTTCAAACGCCACATTTTCCAAATCCATACAATCCACATGACGATTGCTGGTGTAAATTGTCAACACAGCGAAAACATCGAATATTATTATCAGTTATTGTTTTTCAATTAATTCCATATGATCGTAAGTTATCCAACATCATCACTGAATTACAGTTAAACACAATCTTTCGTCTAACTCTAGATGAATGCGCTGGTGCTGGATTGTATCTTCAAAGTAGTGATACACAACGTAGTACACAATGTACATATTTGAATCAAGGACATAATTATTTGAGTGATACAAATGAATTGTATATCAATTTTTATAGTCATACACCAACGGTTCGAGGAGGATTTTGGATTATCTATGAAGGTTTGTTATCTTATTCTTACAAGCATAAATCTTTTTTTAAAAAATTTTTCTTCTCTATTATAGCTAGTAATGTTAATGGAAAAGTTCATCTTCAATGTGGTTCAATGGATACAGTCTATCCTCATAGTAGTCAAAATGGTTCACCTCGAATGAGTTCATTATCACCAATATCAACCGGATTTGATAATGGTTGGGCACGTCTAGCATTCAATTCATTAACTAACACAATAAAAACAACAACAATATCATCTATAAAGACAAATACTTATCAACGAAGTGACGATGATAAAATAAAAATGTTAAGATTAATAGTAAATGATACCATTACTCAACGACCAATCAATATTTATTCTTACAGTGAGTATATACTATCTATTTAAAAGAGCAATTTTCATTTTTATAGGGTGGCATTGCGGAAGGTGAGATATATGACTCTAAACGTTAAATACACAATTTTCAAATACTATCTACATGTTAATCCGACAAGAATTTGCTATACATATATTTCATTTCTTAACACACTGACGATGACAACTGTTGTTTGAATTTTCTATTACGTAACATTCTTCTTTTTTTCAAACGGAATATGACCTTAATGTAAATCCATGTTACGATCGACACACTCATATACATCAAGGTATTAACACGATAACATATTTTAAGGAAATGAGAGAACAAACGATGTATACATTTAACAAATACTATGAACGTGGTGCAAATACTGTTTTAATATTTATGTATAATACATTCTGAAACAGAAATTTGCAGTAATGAAGACGAGACTAAAAATCTCAAGTATCGATATCGATGAGACATGACTAAAAATGATCTTCCCTCTATGTTTGAGTTACCAGTAATATATACTAAATTTTATCCCAAACTATCTATATTAAAAATGCATTTTTAATTAGTAAGATTAGGACAAACCATAATTTTGGTATATAAAAATACGGTGCAGAGATATTACTTCGCTGTATTCATCGTCTATTTGCTTTAGAATCATCGGATTTATTAGATCGTAATTTTCATCAATCTTATGATGAAAAAAATGAACATCAAATTTATCCGCATAAAATTCATAAAACAAGTACAATTAGTCCAAGATTGTTATCAGTCAATCATGACCCATACAATAAAGATTTGAATAATAAAGAAGCAGCCGCCTTTTCATATTCTCCCGGTTCATTATCAACATTTGAATTAGCTTGGGGATCACAAGGATGGTATCTAAACTTTCCATCATCGAGTTCCATATCAACGCGTCTGATGTATCCAACAACAACTCGATCGACAAACGACGTTGTAGCTTATTTGAATAAAACTGATCAGATATATACACAGCGAAATATTAATGATACGCTACGTTTATTAAACGTACCGATTGTACAACCAACAAAATCGACACCAACAATAATAAAATGGAACTCAACATGGCATTATGGCTATACGAAACGAATAACAAATATACAGAAAAAGTCTAGTAATAATCCTTTAACAACTCAAACATTGCATGCTTATGCAACGAATTCATCTACTACTCGAAGAATCATTGATACGAGTTTTCACACAACGTCTAATTTCATGCCAGTTGACAGCACTACAGAAAAATCTAATCCAACACATAACAGCACATCAAAAATACGAGAAAAATTTTTCACAACATTAGCATCAAATTTCTTTTATCCAATATTATCCAGTGAGAAAAATCATACAAATTCAACTGCCATTAACACAATAACATATACGACGAACATCACAACTACAAAAATGAAACAATTACCTTTTGATACTTCAACATTATCATCGCCTACAACAACAGCTCGATATACAATTGATTATTCATTATTAAATTTTAATCCGTTATTATTCTTCTCTACAACACCAACAACATCAAAATTGGCAGGGAAAATAAATCAAACAAACGCATCAAAACCTGAGATATCATCATCAACAATAACGATTCCTCCACCAACACCATGGTACTCTCCACAAGGACCATTTGACTGGTGGCATTGGATATGGTATACAAAAACAACAACTACCACTTCAAAAGGTATAACAAAAAAAGCTTTAATCTTAACATCAACCACCACTACAACAATAAAACAGACAACAGCTATAAATACGACTAGTACAATAATATCCGCAACGACAAGAACGACTACTCTTAAGAAATCCTATACAAATAGTTCAACACAATCGCCAGAAACAAGAAAAGTGTTAAGTTATTCTACTCCAGTTATTATATTTCCAATTCTTTTTCCCTCAAATATGACATCGACAACCGATCGCATACTTTTCGTAACAAAATTGACATCAACACCGAATCATCAATCTATAATCAATAGTACAATTCGAACATCAGCTCTCAGTACTACGATCACCACACATACGAGTGGAAAAACTCGGACTGCCCAAAGTCATACCATCGACTGGTTTAAATTTCCAGTCATCAAACAGAAACACAACAGTTTTCCATCATCGCATTCATCTCATCGAACACATTCATTTTCGTTATCAAGCAGCAAGAGGAGTCCCAAATGGAAATCAAGTACTCAACCTAGTACAACGACATTTGATATTAGTGGAATAGATGACGATGAGGGTGAGGGTGACGATGATCAGGATTGGAACAGTATATTTTCAAAAGATGCCAGTGATTTAACAGTTAAACTTTCGTCTAAAAACAATTTTCTTGCGACACAATCAACGACACTAATAGTAGAAACACTATCGAACAGATATCAAGCCAATAATGAACGAAATGCGCTTCCAAACAGTAAGTAAAATGTAATAAGTTACTGTTTATGAATAAATATTTATATTCTATCATTTTTAATTTTAGATGTCAACAGTCTAATGACTCCAACAAACGTTCATAGTATGATTCGTCGTGTTATTGAACAACGTAATAAAAAAGTAATGGAAAATCGTCGTTTAAGTAAAACAGGTTTGTTCTTCACTCATCATATCCACAGATAACATTTATAATTTCATTAATTTTTTATTAGATATTACCATTATTGCTGTATGTATACTATTCGTTATTTTATTGGTAATAATCAATTTAATTTTATATGCTGTTCGACGGTGAGGATAAGAATAAAACAGGTTCTATATGATTATTTTGAACACGATTTATCATCTCTTGTAGACATCGTCATCAATTACAAAGACGTCATTTGATCAGTCCTTCATTAGCAACAACTATAGTGGGTACCACTGGTAGTAGCATGAATGGTACTAGTGGTACAAATACAATGCCGAATAATTCAGATATTTTACCAGCTGTTGGCGAAATTGTTATTTGGGGTGCAAAAGATCAACGTGGTTATATGATTGATAATAATGGTACATGGGCAAAAATCGAAGGACGACAATGGTTTGGAAGTAATATATTCAAAGGTTGTAGCAAAAGTTCATTGTCAAAAAGGTTTGAATGATTGTTAATTTCACTAAAAATGTGTTTTATTCACAGTTTTATTTATATTTAAATTAAGCTTTCGCTCCAAATTTCGTGTTCGTTCAGATAAAAAAGAAATAAGACAAGCACAATTATTTAAGTGTCCTTTATTAATGGATAGTAAGTTGTTGTTGTTGTTATGACATAAAATTAGTTTTTGATATCTACCGGTATTCGAAGGTGCCACATTGAGTCCTGTACCAGAATGTGACTATGAAAGTTCTGAATTATCATTGTCTGATACCGTGCTTAACGGTATATCCATAAAACGCTCAAAACCAAATTTTATTAATAAATCAGAAGTGAAAGATATATCCGAAGTAAGTTTTATTGTAATTATAAATGCAGGAGATGACACAATATGGAATATTTCTGTCATAGAGACTTGTAAAAAATACCCAAGTTCTTGTTCATACAACTGGTTCACACGATCAATTGTCATCGAGATATAGTCGGCAACTTTCAAATTCAACAGGAGATTATTATAAACGAATTAGTGGTGGTGATGATTCTAACTACACACTTGGAGAAGATATGGGTATAGGAGGAATGTAGTGTTCAAATATTATAGCTTAAATTCTATATACAATTTAGAATCTTCCTTAGCTGAACAAGATACAGATAAAAGTGAAAATCCTATTGTTACAGTTCCAATATTAATTCGAGATTGTAATTCACCAACAGACACGACGTACGATCAAAATTATTCAATACTATCCGTTGTTGAGGTTTACCATCTGACTGTCTAGCTGATACCTAATAAACTTAATTTTTATTCTTATTTTAGTATTCAAGTACTCCTGTTCGTCCAAATTATTTACAACCGAGACATCATTCACACGAAAATAACAACACATTTTCATCACCAACACAAAATTCAGCATCATCAAAATTTTTCTTGAATAGTTTTCAATCATCTAATACTGCAGCAGCCACGCAACAACGATCACCATTACAATTAGAATATATGGGTAGTAGTAGTGGAACTAGTAATGTCACTGGACAGTTTTCACCCACACAACTGGATACGTCTCAGGAAGCATTTAAAATAAAAAATATGACACTGACAACTGGATATTGTCAAACTGAGTTTACACCATTGGATCCAAATTTATTACTGAAAAATAGTAATTTATTTCAAACATTATTAGATTCATCATCAAAAGCTGTAACATGTGATGATACGGCTGAACATTTATATCGTTACTCACAATCGGCTCAATTGTCGACATATGACAGTGGTTTTATCGATGATAAAAGTGATCAAAGTATTGTTTCATCATCATCAAATTTATCAAATACGAAACAGATGAGACCGGTATCATGTCCGGATGTGCAAATATTACAATCAGAAAATGAGAAATCACCACATATTGATCTAGTGAGAAGAAAAAGTTTTATAAGGCAAACATCTCCAGAGAGATGCCGTTCATTATCGGGTGATGAACACTATCAACAACAACAACTACAAGATGAACAAAATGTTGATACACAATTGGAGCAATTACTTGAACGTCAAAGATTGAATCAACAACTACAATTAGACGATTTACAAGCCAATTTAATCACTACTGCAGATCACAATACGAGTGCCAATAGTCCAAAAGAGACGAAAATATCAGAGTGGCGTTCTACAATACGATCAAAATTACGTCAAATAGTCAATAATCCGGTTATGGGGAAAAGAAGAGTCGATACTTCTGATGTAGAATCAAAACGAGTCTCTTTTCCAGGTACATCACCGTAGGACACTAAAACATGTCGACTGAAAAAACCTACTAATTGTTTTTTTTTTAGATAAACATGTTACACAACGCTTTTCTCCACCTTGTCAATCACCACCATATTTCGGTTCAACGTCACAAGAACAACACGTCTCATCAGCGCAACCAGCCATACTAGATCAAACAACAACTGATCTCTCGAACATGTTCACCACGTATGACTTGTCACCAATGTCATTACAAAAGTTCAATAGTAATGGCGGATTTGATAAAACACAGTTAGGTAATCGGATGCGTTCATTCTTTCCTGATTACGATGAAAAATCGACTACAGTGTTAATACCAAAAAATAATAATAATCGCAATAGTCCTGAACCAAGTTCATTGTCCGATCAAACTCATCTACAAATGTCATCACCTGTTCTACGTGATTTATTTGCAACAAAAGCGGCCATCGATGACGATGAAGACCAACCTGTAATTATGAAAAATTTACACTCTGTAAAATCATTGAAAAAATTTTTTGAAACGCGAATGCAACGTCAAGGTTTCCCAAGCGAAATGAATCTATCGCCGGCATCATTTTTAGATAATAGACAGAATGAACAACAACACCAGTTGAATGTCGAGGAAATGAACGATGATACGCATGAACAATTTTATAGTAGTGGATGTCTGATCTCAAATCCACTACCGATGACGGATAGTCATAGAGTGGTTGATAATAATAATAATAATAATAATAATAGTATGATAGATGACGACAAACAACACTTGATCTCAATAAGAACAAAACTGTTAGATAGTTTAAGACGAAAAAAACGAATACCAATAACAGACCAAATCAGTCAGTCATCATCCACAGGTAAGACTACACATAGAGGTTTTATGACTTCGATGTTTTCTTTCTTCAATCAGGCGTGTTAGTCTAAAATTTCTATTATTATTCTCAAAAAACGTATTTTTTAAGTGTGATCATCTGTTTTTCTATAGATGTTGACAATGACGAACAGTACCATCGTCGTTCCACAACTCCAGTACAATCAGCTATAGCCGAATATTCCGATTTATCACAAATATCTTCGCATATTTATGTTCAACAGCAACAACAAAATGAACAACAATCGATTCCAAGTTTCGACCATAATAACCATTTTACACTTTTGAACAACGAAATGGAATCTCATCATTTATCTACTATAACTAAACAATCACCACATTCACGACGATTTCGTTCATCGTCAAGTAATTCGTTTGAAAATAGTTTAGATATTTTGCAGCACCAGTCATCATCACAGTTGACAAGAGCTCATGTCAAGCGATCATTATCACATGATCCTAATTATTCATGTTCTAATCGTTCATCGAATGGATGTTTTATTGAAAACTGGGGGCAAGATACGCCTAAGATGAATCAAGAAGATGACGAAAATGATGACTTAGTTGATGACAACGCATCGGAAAGTTCAATGTTATGGCAAGCAAAAACACGTTTGCAAACATTTGTTAAAACAACACGTAGTGAGTATCAACAGAATAACCAGAATTTCGATCAAAATACTCGCTCAAATATTAATCATCCGTTGTACAGGGGAGACAATCGATGTAGTCAGATAACTTCAACTAACAGTGATTACTCGAAAAAAATAATTATGACTGAAACAAAATTTTAATTAGTATTTGTTGTTTTGATTGACGAAAATTATTTTATTTGTAACTTCTTGACGTAATAAAACTTGACCATAAACGCATTTTTTTTTGACTATTTAATTGATATTACTTTTCTTGTTGTTTTTTTTTCTATTTGATTAATATAAGTAAAACTTAGTTACTCTGTTATTGTTTCGTTGATACTTCAGTTTTTCGATATTCTACCTAGGAGTGTCGGTCAGCAATTTAACACTAGAATTCTAAATTGGCCTTTTATGAAAATGAAAAGATATTCATGCCTCTTGTCCTTAAACTCATGATTCAATTGTCACAAGCTGTTACTTTGTGTTACATTTACTACTGAAACCGTCATGTTGAGGATTTTAATCTGTTGTACAATAACTGTCACTTTTTAATGACTAAAACTGAGTATCATCATTAAATTTTGCACTCACGATAGAGCAGTGTACGAGCAACAACAAGCTTTTGTTATCCGTTTTCCATAATTGTCTAGATACTTATTTTTTCGTTACAGAATTCTTCCATCGGAGCTAGGCAAGTTCGATCATTACTAAGTCCAAGTCTAACAGAAATATTTTTTGTCAAGTCCAAGTCCGCTGGAGCTTAGTTTCAACTCCAGGTTCAAGTCGAAGTTCTTCATAGCAGTTTCTGCACTATACAGTACGTCATAATCATGTATGATGGGCAAATAAATTTTATCCATACATTGATGCATGTTTGACAAAAAAAAGATTAATAAATTAGGTATCAGATTTTGTTGTTGAATCCAAAAGATTTTTCCTCCTTGGACTTCAAATGGACTTGATAAAAAAATGCTTAAGTTTAAGTCTGTCAAAAAAACGTTCACGTCCGGACATGGATTTGCTGACCTGTGCCTTCCGTCCAGAAAAGAAGAGGTTGTGAGAAACAAAATACCTTTTAATTAAATGACGAGTAAGAAGACACATTAATACAATAAAAACAGTAGAGAAAAAAAACTGACTAATTATTAAGTAAAGTATATTTTGTTGTCCAGGTCAATTCTGTTTAAATAAATATAAAGCAATATGCAGAAATGAGTCTAGATAACTTGTACGTCACTCCTGATTAACAATGACAAATATTGCAGCGAAATTGCGACTTTACAATATAGTATCCGCCAAAAGTATCTCAACCCTAGTATAAAATAAATTTATAACTAACGAGGGAACCTCTCCAGATGTCCAACTCCGTTTGAGCTTATATTTTGCTGATCAATAGAGGACACGAGTGTAACAAAAAGGATTTGGGTTGTTGTGGCTTCCTTCCCGAGTTAGCGTTGATTTAGTGAAATTCGAGTTTGGGGTATGTTTACTGTAACGCATTATTCCCATGTGTTAAACAGCTGAAACTCACAGCAATATTAGTCCTAAACAAAGCCCGTATGCTGCAAAAATTTTCGACCTTAATCTTCTGTCCTTCGTAAGAAATCGAATTTTCTGTTTTTCATAGTATCGGCACTGCCTTGCGAACTGCAAATTAAATAATTTTCTTTTTCGTTATCAAGTTTGCTTTGACCTGGTAAGTTGACAAAAGCATTTTTTATCTCTATTGGACTGCTTTCAAGTGTTTGCGCTATTGAATGACACGATTAGATTTTTTTTCATCTGCAGTTCGCAAGGCAGTGCAGATACTCTATGAAAAACAGAAAATTCGATTTCTTACGAAGGACAGAAGGTTAAGGTCGAAAATTTGTGCAGCATACGGGCTTTGTTTAGGACTAATATTGCTGTGAGTTTCAGCTGTTTAACGCATGGGAATAATGCGTTACAGTAAAAATACCCCAAACTCGAATTTCACGAAATCAACGCTAACTCGGGAAGGAAGCCACACAACCCAAATCCGTTTAGGCTATTTGTTACACTCGTGTGCCCTATCGATAGGGGCACACAGAAATATGAGCTCAAAGGGAGCTGGACATCTAGAGAGGTTCCCTCGTAAGTCTAGACATATGTTTGACCAAGAAACTGTCAGAAATATTTCTCTACACGTGATTATTTCTTCAGTATTAGTTAACTATTTTATGGTGAGGGTAAATGAAAAAGAGTGCAAGCTTCTTAATAATTTCTCAACCTCTTTTTTGCCGTATATTTCTATGATTACATTTTCGCAAAAGTATGATGTACATCGAATTTTAGATTTTATGATGGAAAGAACGCCTCTCTAAGTATTTTACATTAGTGTCTATATATTCTCAACGAATTTCCGGATCTATACCTAGTTAGCGTTTAAACTGTGAAGAAATAAATTGCATTTATTATGATAATAGTCGCACTAAAACGCGTTTAAATTTCTTCCTCACTAAACCCTGTTTACATGCGTTTTTATTTATATTTCAGCAAAAACGTGTTTAATCAAGGTTTGTTCAAAGCCCATGATTTATACATTTTAGTTTAAAAAACTTTTCAGCAAATAATGGCTTATCGGCGGACATTATTATTAAACGCGTTTTTTTTAAATTTTCCTTAATTAAAGAAGTGTAAACAAATATACATCTAAACACGTTTAAATGAGTATTAATATAAATCCTTTTTGTTTACAAATCCTAGTTTATTTTTCCTTTTCTATCCTTTTTCCGCTCCGAATACATTAAAAGAAATTACACATTTAGATAAACTGCATAAATCCATGTCGAACATTTTTATTAGATACCGTCAGTTGTCGTGGTATATAATCTAAACCGGGCGGTGTTCTCCATATCTCGGTGCGAAGAATATCGCTCGGTACACCGTTTCAAAGTTATTCACCTTTTTGTTTGATGTTTGTTGGAGAAGTATATAACAACGACAAAAACTTTAAAGATTTCTAATTTTTCTTCCTAACTCGTCGAAGTACATGAACTTTGACTTCAGTACTGCCTTACTGTCCGTCATTCGCTATCCTGCGATGACTATTATCTATGACTATCGGTAATCTAAAAATAAAATGAAAAACTATCAGCAATGTTATGTGACTGACCGCTCATATACCGAATTGTGTTTTCTTTTAGATGATGATAAACCGGCAGTATTTTGTCGCATAGTGGGCAAGCGGACATTTAGAAAAAGTCGTCGTTCATTTTTTCAAGTTTTGATCAGCGGATCATTTCGATAGATATGGTGACTATATTTCCCTAGAATAACTCTTTTTGACTTTACGGGAACAGTTGATTGATGAATCGATTGTCCTTTGAGTTAAAATACCCACACAATAGATTCTGCCTAACTCTGGAGAACAATATTAATATCCGAAGGAAACAAAAAAAGAGTAAAACATTATCAAAATAAAAAAGACCACAACTCAAAAGACAATTAATCCATCAATAACTACAATTTTAAAGATTCCTCAACTGACTACAGCTCAACAACAGTGATCCGACGGTCAGTATAGAACTTTGTCAAGAACATTCTAAATATTCCTGTTGTAGATGTTGTTCTATGTCGGAACAACCGAGTGCTTTCAAAACTGTATATAACATGTGTATTTGCTCACTGATTATGTTGTTATAAAGTTAGTTACATTTGAAATAAAGATAGAAAAATAGTATTAGAGTTATATGTAATCATAACAAGATGTCGCTTCTGCAGTATGTAGGAAGTTTTTCTCCGCAAAGACAACTTTTTGGGCTTAAAAGATGTTGATCGAAACCTGTAATGTTGCGCTTCTTGAAGATCTGCCATGCTTATCTAGAAATAGGTAGTATGTTTTACAGTTTGTTTTTAAACCAAAACTAACCCTTTTTTGATGGGTAACAAAACTAAGGATACACGTTTTAGTTTGAACATGTACGTGAAGTTTAATTGTATCCCAGAAGCTGAATTGCTAATGGGAACATGCCTTCTATAGGATTGATCTAATATTTTAATTATTCCGATCTAAAAATTAGTGGAAAAAATATCATGTATACTTTTCTACAAGAAAACAAGCGAAATGAAACAACTTACATGGATCACGGATTATATTATTTATATTTTCAGGTAATACTAGACCGTATGTCATGTCCATTACCTTAAACTCTGTTTTCGCCGAACCTTTTCGTAAGAAATCACATGGCTCGTAATGACTAGTCTAAAGTAATAAAAGATAAGATGGAATCGAAAAAGGCTAAACTGTACGGTGTGCTGTTTTAGTCCACAGCTGTCATTTTAAATATGAACCTACTGGAGCGTGTTGTTGAAGGAGAACATAGTCTCAATTACGTTTGATGGTCTAGCACAGAGGTGCAACCGGTATCGGTACGAATTATAACGCCGACCGGTATACCGGCATTAGTATATAATCAGTCGGTCGATATTGCTAGTATTTTACGATATGATACGATTTTCTTCGAAAAACATCGTGTGAATGCAGTTCACCTGTGACATATTTCTTCCACTAAGATATCATTCCAATTACTTAAGCTTTGTCGACTTATATAAACTTCTTAATTTAAAAGATTGAATTAGATTGCTGGTTTTCGTAAAAAAAAGGCGTGAAAAAAAAATCAGCTATAAATAATTAATGTGAAAAGATTAATCTATCCCTTTGATAACATAAAATATAGTTCACAGTAAAGAAAAATAAGGGAAAAGTATTTGTATTTAGGCAAAATATGATCAGAACAAGCCGGTGCCGACCGATATACCGCCCGGTACCGGTACGAAGTTTGTATACCGGTGACAGGCACTTGTATCGCGTTTTTGATACCGGTTACACCCCTGGCCTAGCAGGATTATAATATTGACTTGTTCAAGAATAGGACTGTTCATTGTCGTATATGGTTGTTGCGATGTTAGTGGGTTTGGCTGCCGATTAAAGTTGGTCGGATCTGCTACATACTTCAGTAACTGTTTTCGAACTATTCGATGTCTATAGTTTTTGTGGTTTTTCGAACTTTTTTTTCTCTCAAACATCCACAAGTTATCATATGCTACAGAAACAATATCATTTATAAAATCATCTTTAGCATTCTTTTTCATAAAATTTAATAATAGCTTATCTGATAGGGATTTTATTGTTTGTGTCATGTCATCACATGCCGTTTGAAAATTGGCTTCTAAAATTGGTTCCAAGTTGTTTTCAATTGTTCGTTCTCTAATATGAGAACTGCCATCTTCTGCAATATTAAAAAAAGCTGCCGCTTCCAGAATAGTGTCCTTGCGTTCAACAACTAAAGTAAAACTCATTTAAGTCGTTATCATTCATAAATAGGAATATTAGCTATTAATATAAGGCGATAACGAACTGGTGTATTGTACCTTTTCTAGAAAAGCGATCTCTAGTAAGTGTAAAGGTTTTTACAACTTTGTAGCCGTTAAATTTACTACTGTAAAACAACTTTAACATACCGGGACCAGGTTGTCGTTGCTGCTGCTGGTTGACGGACTCCTATGGTGGTGGCTGCTGATGTGAGTAAGCCTTAAGCAAGCGGCTGTTGTTGAGAGATGGGGTGTGCAAGAACCTGTTGATGTGCTCCTGAAATAATGAATGCAGCCGATCGTGAACGACCGGTGTGTTTGAAAAACCAAAATTTTCTTTTTTCGACTTCAACGTAAAATGGCGGGAGTTCTTTTAGTATAAGTTTCCGCTCGATAAAATCGACAAATTCGAATTGAGTACAAAATTCTGCATGTAGCTGCTGATTTTAAGCACATGTTATAGAGCAGACCTTATTGCAAGGAAAAAAGTGAAAAAAGCTGTAAGATGGAAAATTAAATTTTTTTTGAAACTGGGAAATTTCTAAAAGAACCTTACAAATAGTCTTCAAATTACTAAAGACATTGATTAAAAATGAAACAGTAAAAAAGGAACGACTTTTTACATCAAATATTAAATTTCATTTTTTCGCGTTAAACGTGACGCCACTCTGAATTAGGGAAAAATGAACGTCTCGAAACGAATTGTAATGGCATAGAAGACTTAGGTTTTCGTAACAGTTAGACTTTTCTGTCATAAGTAGCCCCATGTCGAAAACTTTTGCGTCACTTGCGAGCCAAAACGTCTTAGTCTACACGTTGCTGCGTACGGTGACGTATTCGATACTCTCTAAAAAAAGGGTTGTTACGAAACTTAAAAGGATATAGAGAAGTGCAACCATTTCTAAACCCTTTTAGGTTTCGTAGAAGACATGGTGCAGTACGAAACCGTTTAAGTGCATAGATTCTAGCAGTTTTTTTTCTGAGCAAGTGGACCAATTCAGTAGCTTAGGCATGTTTCGAACACCAACTATAAAACAAATAACGCACGAAAAGCATCCACTTGTCGTGTGATATGTCAAAAAAGTAGAGCACAAATTGTTATACTTTCTTATATACACTGAAAGTAGAGGAGAAAGTACATGAAATGCTTGAGAACCCTAGTCGAGACTCCCGGTAAAACTCCCACGGGACTCCTGTCACGGGATCCTGCAGGAGTCAGGTGGGACTTTCAAGGGATTTCTCAGGACTCCTGAAGACTCCCGTGGGACTTCTGTGGAGGTTTCGAGTCCTGCGGGAGTCCAACGAAAGTCCTCAGAATCCTCAAAGTCCCACGGGAGTCTTCAGGAGTCCTGAGAAATCCCTTGAAAGTCCCACCTGACTCCTACAGGATCCTCCAGGATCCCGCAGGACCCCGTGACAGGAGTCCCGTGGGAGTTTTGCCGGGAGTCTCGACTAGGGAACTTATTGTGTTTATGCCGAGAATCAATGCAAACGAATGTAGTGTAGGCGACAGTAATAGTATATAAAGTATTAGACTGCATTGTAATTGGGAATTTAGTGAGGAAATTTGAGAGTCCTGAACATAACTGAGTAAGGATGTGAAAACACCCAGGAGACATGTGCCACATATGCCACAATGAAAGGCATGTGCGAAAAGAGACATTTCGTTTCTTGTTAGGCTGCTAACTTTTTGTTCTTTCCCTATGAATAATATATTCATTCACAACTATAACTTTAATTGTTACTATATACATAGTTAGTTGTTAGGCGGGCACATGAGTGGCAATTGTCATCTGTCTCACATCAACATAACAATGATGTATTTTACTCGTAGATAGAAAACAAAAACATGAGTCATTCCAGATACGCCCTCTGCTATAAAGACCGTCTGTTCTTTTCCTCGCAATGTAGCGACATCTTACCTCATTTGGGTCTTCAAAATACTGCTTTAAGAATACTGGTGTGTAGAAATACAATTTATTCGAAAATTCGTAAAACTGAAGTCTAATTTTAAGATACGTTTTCATTGGAGACTACCTTTGTTGCACAATCATGACTCATGTGACATTGCAACATACTTTCATAAAAAAGTGTCGTCAGACCTACATTTTCCTTTCTGTATTGCATTTGAAAAATAGACAAAACGAAAAATGAAGTAAAAACAACCTGTCTCGCCGCTTCTCGCTAGGCCCAGCACGCAAACCGTGCCAACAAAGTAAGTACTAATACAGAGAAAAATTATTTTTCAATTCATGCGGTCATCATTTTTGATAAAATTATTTTTCTACAGTTTAATATAAAATAAAATATTCTTATAGCAGTCAGAAGTAAATTGTTTTATCTTCATTGAGTCATAGCACTATTGCTTTCCACAGATCAATTCCGTTTCTCCTTTTTAAAGTAGAAATAGAAGACACCAGGAAATGCGAGAGTTTGTTTCGGTTTCTCAAGATAGAAAAAAAGTACTGCACGTATATTGAGCAAAAATAAGAAAACTAAAAGGAAAGTATAACTTGGTTTTTTGGAAATCCGATTTGATAAAAAATAATCTTTCTGACTAACCCGTTTTTTTCCCTAGCGAATGGTGTCTCATATTGCTGCTTAAGCGCCTGATATAATCTTGAGCAAATAAATGTAGTTCACATACCCCTTTTATTCTTTCACTTAAAGAATCTCTTCATTAAGTTATAAAATATATCTAACAGCTCATTCTTTTATACACGTCACGTAGGCTGACTTTGTAATTATGACACAGACTAGATAGTTTCTCTTAGCCAGCGATCCCAATCAGAGAGATGCCAGCTCCTCCCTGAAATTTCTAACTTTTGGTAAAAGTTTTTGCCTTGACTTTTCGTCGGAAAATGAAGCAGCAGCATAAAAAACTACTTTTTATATCAACTTTTCTATGTTAACTTTCCCCGTAGATGTGCAAATACGAGTAGTCTCTTTTATATTACTTGGAAGTCCGTTTTTCTTCCATAAGTGTTTCACGTCTGACTGATTGATTTTATTGGAGCGAAAAGTGAAACAAACTCGGATACAGTTATCTATTTTCACCCCATCGCTTTCCGCATGATATATTTATAAGCTCTCCGACACTATTATAGCCTTCTCCCTGGCCAACAAAACAGTCGGAATCCCCGCTCTTAGCCATGAATGCACTTTTCTCGCTCAGAAAAGCGTCTTTGCTAAGAAGAAGAAGAAGACTAGTTTAGAAATGCGGGGTATTACTAAAAGACATGAACGCCCACGAACACACACCTTTTTGGGTGCTCGTGGGTGTTCATTGAAAATGTATGCTTAAAAAGCGAAACTATAAAAACTTTTTTGGGTGTTCGTTAGGCCTTGTTATACTCAGCTCGACGAGCTCTGTCGATTGGCTAACGCAGATTTTAATTTGGGGGCGTTTGTGGATGTTATCGTCTTTTAGTAATACCCCGGAGAGCGAGAGTCATAAAAGGTCCCTGACCTGTGGTATCAATAGCTCAAGCCAAACTAATGAAATAGTACTACTCTGTGTACTTACTTGTTTTATTAGCTCACAAAATGGTTTTCAACATGGATTTCTCAAAAAAGAAAACAGCCTTCTCGGCTCACTTATTTTCACACAACAAAATTATTAATTGGTCAGATTTTACAAATGGAAACAATGGAACTTGGTCATTATTTAATGACACCCCAAATTGGGGGCAAGAATGGATTTAATCCATTTTCACCTGATTTTCTCTTTTATAATGATGACATTACAAATATTAAACAAACACAACAACATCATGGATTATTGCACGATAGTAAATTATTTTTAGATTCTGATTTTAGTTTCGATCACGAAGAAACACCAGGTATGTCTATTTAATAATTATCTTGATATTAGATAACTTTCAACAAATGAGAGATCAGAAACTACAGTCGTTCTAATTCATAGAAAAAAATTTTCTTTACACGAGATAACCTGTGCATGAATATTTTATTACGATTCCTAGTGTAAACACATCTAGATTTATTGCACAGTAGCTCAAATCTTCTTTTTAGGAAACATCGACGTTAGTGACCTTTTTAAAGATTTAGATTTAGAATGGGAATTACAAAAATTAATTAGTTGTTCCTCTTTTCCAATAACGACAGCAACGGATTTTGCATTGTCACCACTACCCACAGAAGAAGAAAAACCTTCGAGTCCAATGTCGTCCATTGACGGGTTGATGAACGATGATATCTGGATTGGGGAAGAATGTACTATCGGTATTCAGTCTCCTATATCATCTCCAACCACAACAACACAATATGATTCAGATAGCACCTCACCCGTTTCATCACCATCAGGTTCGATAACATCATCTACCAGGACGTCAACGGATTCAACTACCAATGATTCAACTTCTATAATCAAAAAATGTCGTCGTAGTCGCAGGTTAACACAACCTGAAAAGAAACTACGAAAAAAAGTACAAAATAAAACAGCAGCTGAAAAATATCGATTTAAAAAGAAAATAGAAAAACAAACAATATACGAAAGGAGAACAAAATTAGAAAGCAGCAATAAAGATTTGCAATTAGAAGTTGATAATTTACAATATCGAATTACACAATTGAAACAATTATTTGTCGATATATTACATGTGAAAGAATTTCAACAAGCTCAACAAAACAACAGCCTGTAGAATAATTGAAAAAAGAGAGCTTAACAATTTTAGTTTTGCTTCTCTAAGAAAATAGAAAGCGTTGTTCATCTCATTTCAACTCTGCTGTATGTATGTATCTTCTTTTTCGATTTTCTGATCGTAGTTTTTTTTTTGTGGTCATTGTAGGCGATGTAAACCGGTTCTTTTGTATTAGATAAAGGATTATGTAATTTAATGTAAAATGTTGTGTGAAGAATTAGAATTTTTTAACCATTTAAAATCTTTAGTTTAGGTCAGAGTGTTTAATCTCAGATCCTTGGGACGTTACTGCGGCGCTAGAGAGAATGTTTGGTTTATTTTAGTACATGAGAAATTCGTGTATTAGCTGCTTTATCAGCTAAGCATATGTTGTCTGGTGATCGATAACCTAAAATCTTTTTCTAAAAACAATTTTTTAATCGTTGTATCCATGTGTTTTTTGTGCGTTGTAATATCTGATTACTCTATTACCACAAAATTTATCAAAAATTATCATTTTCGTTTATTCTTGCGTCATCTTTTCCTTTTGCAAGTGTGCGTAGTTCTTTTTCTCTCGCAAAAACAAACACAAATAGTTTTCTAGAACAATTCATCTTTTTCGTTGTATTAAAGTTTCATTGAGATTGAGTAACATCAAGGTTTTGTATGCATTTTGTTTGTTTGCACAATTAACTTTGGATGAATTTGTTGTCTTTTTCTTTTTCTATGGTATGCATTATTAACGTTTCCTTTTCTTTGTTCTCTACTTATATAGGCTGACGGCAACTATATACTTACTTACTTTACTTTGTTCTTTTTTCTATGTTGTCGTTCGTTGTCTGTTTTTTCGATTTATCTTATGCACTAAAAATCAAATGAATATTTACTCAAAAAAAATTTCTTGACTTAGTGAATCGTGAAAATATTTCAGTTCTCAAAGAATTATGTTTTAGTTTGAGTGGAATGAAAAACAATTTTCTTTGTCATTTCTCAATACGATTATTGTTGGTGGTTCGAAACAATGCTCATAATCAAAGAAATATTGAGATGATTTCACTTTCAAAAAGTTGATTACCTTTCTAGATGACAAAAAAACAACTGAAAACTTTATACTGGTGTTACGTGAAATCGTCCTGTTCATGAGAATAGCCAAAGACAGCAGATTACGTTGTCCTCAATCAAGTGTTTATTTAAAAAACAGCTATGTACATATATACAAAAAAAAGAAACATTTCACAAGTATTTGCATAAATTAAAATATTATGATTAAAGAGTATCCATGGAAAAATTTTATCGAATTGTCACGTGTGAGGCACCGTGAAATGTCAGCTTGAACTTTCATGAAGTTTTGTAGGTGAAGAGAGTAAGTTTCACGACGCTGCGGGTCATGCAGTTACAACATCAAACGATTGGCTTAAAAAAATCGAGACCAGCAAAGTATACTTGCTCATATACTATAGTGTACCGCAGCAGAGGCGGCGGAACTATGGGGGTTATGGGTGCTTTAGCACCAACAGATTTTGAAAATTTTCGTTTTCTTCCAGCAGAAACTTATTTTGCATTCGCGTTCTTGTCCTTGAGCATCCATTAGTTCAAAATCATTCCGTCGCCTCTATATCACACCCTCAGCAATGTTACCTCATATAATTTTTTTCACGCGTATGTTCATTAGAATGTAGTTAAATCTCACGGCTTTTGTTTTCTGTATATTTTCTGAAAATGAGAATCGAGCTGAACGACTTCTAATTAGAAATGTGAGAGACTGTTACTGACACCACTTGACTTCGGAGAATATATCAGACCGATCATAAACAGAACCTTCTCTTCGCCTGAGAAATACCTAAGATGAGAGATATCGTCAAATGGTTTTGTAATGAATCGATTATCGGCCTCTATTTCAAATAACACAGCTTGTGAATCGCTAGTCGAAACAAAGCATGAAACAAAGCTAAGCGCTTGATCTCTATTTCAACTAATGGAAAAGAAACTATACGTTGCAACAGGGTCACTGCAATAGTATTCTAGTTCGTCACTCGATAAGTATGAAGTATTAAATGATTTGTACACGCTTGAGATTTCAGTTTTCATTTGTTCGTATATGTCACGGGTTAGAAACTGAAATGAATAGATCATTCTGGTGTCTTGAACACACGACGAATTTATTTCATGTCCTAGATGTTAAGTTGACAACGGTACTGGCAAAAAGTTAAATGGAAAACTTTGACTAGGTCAACACCATGAACGCATAATAAAAATAGAAAAAAGCTGGTTCAAGAACATCATTGTAATTACAATAAACAAAGATGTTTACCTGAAGCATGTTTGAATGATCGAGCAGAGAAGGCACCGATTATCTCTCTAGCTAGAGCATTCCATTGAAGGATAGTTTGAGACAAAGAAGACGACTGTGTAGTTTTTTGTTTAAATTTTGGTACCTTTCTTTGAAGTTCGTGCTGCGATTCTAGTGCGCGATGGTTTTATCAGTGAAAATGAAGTAAATGCAGTTCGACCAGTAATAATCTTATGAAAAAGCATTAATCTAAAGTATTTCCTCCGATTCTCTAAATCTGGTAGTTTAAGTTTATTAATAAGTGCCAAACTATTCGCAGAGAGGTTACTGGCAATCATTCGTGCAGCTAGTTTATGTACAGATGTTAGTAGATTTAAATGCGTCTTAAAATCGTTGTCAAAAACAATGCAATGGTCTCGATTTTTTCAAGCGTAGCCAATCGTTTGATGTTGCAACTGCATGACCCGCAGCGTCGTGAAACTTACTCTCTTCACCTACAAAATTTCATGAAAGTTCAAGCTGACATTTCACGGTGCCTCACACGTGACAATTCGATAAAATTTTTCCATGGATACTCTTTAATCATAATATTTTAATTTATGCAAATACTTGTGAAATGTTTCTTTTTTTTGTATATATGTACATAGCTGTTTTTTAAATAAACACTTGATTGAGGACAACGTAATCTGCTGTCTTTGGCTATTCTCATGAACCGGAAGATTTCACATTACACCAGTATAAAGTTTTGAGGGCACAGTAGGCATCCACGTAGACATTTAGCTGAAAATTGAAATTGCACTTTTCCAAGATTTGAATACTATCAAATATACTTCGAAACATGCTGTGTCGAATGCAAGCAAAAATTTTATTCCGCTCTGGAGGAACGTAGAAATTTAGTTAGCCAAAAATTAGCCTGAAAATTGTGAGCTGGTCAGGAAAGTTGATATTTCTCAAAACTATAAAAACTAATAGGCAAATTTACAGTACATATTCTGAATCTGCACGTCGAGTGCTATACATTGGCCTATAGAAAAATTTTCAAAGGCGACTATAAAGTTTTGACTCCGGAATGGAATATATGTAGGTTTGTAGAGAAAGACTTCCTCTATCCAATGGTGTATAAATTATCAAATTCTGTTGTGTACAGTGAGAGAGAAATTTTGTGCATTATAGAGTAAAGTGTCCTCTAGAAAATAAGACCACTTCCAGCTTCCCAAGGCCTTTCGTTGAGGAGATACGAATTTTTTAAAGTTTGTTACTGTATGCTGAAAAAAATCTATTGTTTTACTTTCGAAACTTTTGCCTCTTCCATTCAGTAGTTGATAAACTTTTGAAACAGTCAGTCTTGTAGAGTAAAGATTTCTCTACAAAATGAGATGTCTCCCATTAAATCGATTTAGAGCCAATAATTTAGAAAAAACTAACCGTTTGACAAAAGCAGCATCCATATTTTATTCAATTAAAATTAATATTACTCAACGTTTCGACTATCCATACAGTCATTCTCAAGAGAACATACTGTACATAAAATTAAGTTCAACAGAGAGAAAACATGTGTATATATACAATACTCGTACTAACTATAGAAAAAGAACGAAGTTTCTTTATCACTCTTTTCTTTTCTACTATAGAGAAAAGTAAATTCTCAGCTGCAGTGTTCATTTCTATTATTCATTCATTCTTTTACCTCCTGGATCAAAATCATTTTGACTGTTTTTTGATAGACCATTTGGAAACACGATTAAGAGTACCGATCTAACCGTACCATTTAGATTGGATTTAAGTGAAATACATAAAGACTCTTTTTATATTCAATACTATCTCGATCTAGTATACGCCAGTTGTCCCGGTCTATTTTGTGAAGAGAATCATCTGCCTGTTTCTTCAGAGCTGAATTATCTGTAGATATAACCATATCGCAGTCATTCTCTCCATCACCAAAAACGTGCTTGTCGGGAATGTCCATGCTCTTCATTTGTTCTGCTATTCTTTTTGAGGCTTCTGTTTTTGCTACTCTCAATAAATGAGTCCTTGATTGAACTTCTGGTATTTCACTACTTTCAGTAGTAGATGGCGAGATACAAGAAGGTTTTGCTAGCCCATGTCCCCAAAATCGCCTACATGCTTACCAGACCGTTTTCCCGACATAATTTGAAGTATAGTCTTGACATTTTACATCATATACTATGCTAGATTGCAAATCAGGAGGAATTTTATCTTTAAAATTAAATCCGGAGCTGCGTTTGGTAGTTTCTCAATAATCCTCAGTTGTAAATCAGATCGAATTCGATTAGTAAACTTTCGTAAATCATTTTTAAACATTCTGCTGCTGTTTTTTTACGAATGGGATCTCTATAAAAATTCTCTTCTTCTCATCGGCCTTGCTTCTGCTAACCGTACTGGGATCATTGTACTATTTGCTTAGTTTCATGCCGATTAATTTATCAACAAAAGAGATTGGATAACCATTTTTTACTGCTATATCTCTAATATTTTTTAATTCATTATCAAGCAACCGATATGACGAGCAAATGTTAATAGCTCGATGAATCATCATGAACATCAAGGAAAGATAAACTATTGTTTGTTCAGCTTCATAAGTAAATTCAATGCTTGGATGAAAACCATTTAATACTGATAAAACATCACCAACAGAAACATTCGGCTCTATCAGAGTAAATGTATCATCAACATATCTCCTCCAAAACCTTATCCCATTATTGTACAATTCATCATGTAAAGACTCCTCAAGGTGTATCATAAAGATGTCAGCGATAATACTTGCCAAAGTCCATCTATACTAACCCCGTCAATCTGTTCATATAATTCACCATTAAACATGAAATGTGTGTCAGATGTAGCTATCACTAAAAGATTGCGAAAATCATCTTTATCTATACATCTGTCACATCTCATATTTTCCCGTGTATTTACGCAAGGATTGCATTTTCCGTACAACTTATCAATAATTAAATCTATAGTATAGGATAATGGTACTTTAGTAAATAAGTTCTTAACATCAAACGATAACATTTTTAAATCTAGATGGAAACGATTTAACTATATTTGCAAAATCGAATGATTCCTTAACAATGCTAAGACTATTGATGCTAAATGATTTAACTGTTTTGCTAACATCAATCCTAATTCATAATTAAATGTTTTAACAGATGAAAATACTGGTCTAATTGGCCAATTGGATTTGTGCACCTTCGGTAAACCGTACAACCTTGCAAACCGTTTATTTGAACAGACGTTAATTTGTGAGAAATAATCTCATCAATACTTTTCCGTTCATAATCTCGATATTCCGTTTTAAATCCTAATAATTTCGTATAATAGTACTCAATATTACTAATCAAATCCTTGTTATTTAATGCTGTCGGCGGATAGACATGGATTAAACCATTCACAAGCGCCTTCTCTTCATGATCAGTTAGGACGCGTTTCGAATAACTAATAATGGGATTAGCATCGTTCTGCACTATTCTTGTGTTTTGATGAGTTGAACTCAAACTAAATAGCTTCTTTACCAACCCTTCCTTCCACACAATTGCTTTATCGTTCACCAGCGAACATTTATAATTTATAATTTGTCAAAAATGATTCGACTCACCAAACCTTGAATATAAGAAACTATTTCCTTATAATGACTGGGCTTGATGAGTCGACTCAGTATCAAACAAGCTCTGAATAATTTATGATCCTCTAGAACACCACCAGGTGTCACATAAAATAATACAAAAAATAAAGTAGAAAGGGAACGGCTAGAATACCGAATAGAGGAGAGGAGGGAGAGGCTAATTTTAAGATTGTTGATTAGTATAAACTAAAGTTATTTTATCAAATTAGTCGCATCGAAAATGGATATTAAGTTATCCATTTTCTCTGAATGATAGACAATCATTTCTAAGCAAAAAGCAGCGTTTCTGATGAAGAAAAATCACATGTCCGCCTGTCATGCGAAAAGTGGCCTGTCATGCTCACTGTGGCAGGGCGTCTTTTCATAAGCAAAAAGATTTTTAAAATCGTTCTGTATGCGACTTCTTTCAATACTATATGACTATTAGTATTATTCGATAATAATAATATATGAACAATGCTAATGTGCTACCCCTGGTCGGATCCATTCTTTTACTAGAAAGACAGTAATTCTGGTAGTACTCATTGCAATGCATTTTGCGTCGTGTCGCCAACGTCCCATCTCAATCAAAAATGGTTCATTTTGTAGGGAACTTTCTACTGTACAAAACTGAATAAAATAATGTATGGCAATTTTTCGCTTTAGTTAATGAAAATTTATTTTACTTGAAAAGTAATCACTTTCAACCTTCTAAGTTTTGAATTATTTTAATTTTTTTCCAATATAATCTTGAGCTTTTTTGAACGATAAGATAGTCTACTTTGTTCGGTTTTTTTCTCTAATTCAACTCATATATAACTAAAACTTTTATAACAAGAACAAACAAAAATAATCAAGATTTAAAATTTTTTCGATACGATTAATTTGATAAAATAACTTTAGTTTATACTAATCAACAATCTTAAAATTAGCCTCTCCCTCCTCTCCTCTATTCGGTATTCTAGCCGTTCCCTTTCTACTTTATTTTTTGTATTATTTTACGTGACACCTGGTGGTGTTCTAGAGGATCATAAATTATTCAGAGCTCCATGAACCTCTACATACTGCTGTTCGCTTTCTGTGGGATCTGTCATACAACTCAGATGCCTCCACTATCAAGCGGCTGACCTTTTACCACACTTGAACTTGGTGTGACTAATGAGGACGCTGCAAATCTAAAATCTCGTGCAGCACAAATAAATTCCGTTATCATTACCTAACCAGTGGAGTGGTCACAAACGATGGATGGAGAATGTGGTCTGCAGAAAAAGGTGCATACGAAACAAATTACATTCAAAATTCAAGATTTTCAACATCGATTTCCACTTATCATACATTACTTCAATCTTCACCAGGTACCACTGGCATAAGTTTAAAGTGGTTCCTCCCTTATGGACATATACAATAGAGATACGATGATAGCATAGTACGGTGGCTTGAAATTGTTCTGTCAAAAAGCAGACAATTTCCCAAATATACCCAGATCCTAGCGCATCCGTTGAGTTAGAGTAGCTGCTTTTGGATATTGAGAAATGTTTAAGCGTATCGTATGAACATTAGAGAGGTTTTAACTCTGATCCGTCTGCCTAGGGTCCGTGCAGATTCCAGACGAGAACGAATTCTTAAAGATATGTCTTGCTGCTCTGCCAGATAAATAATGAGTGGATGCAATCAATTCATATTTATAGTACACCCTATTGTCATTCAGTGGAATATAAAGCGAAGCGGTAAAATCTAACCGTTATGTTCAGGCAGTATCGCAAATGAAACCGGTTGAATTTGGGTATATTATAGGTGATCGGATCAGGGTTAAACACGTTCTTATATATATATCATCAGCTTTTCATATTGTAGTTTAAATTAAATCATAAAAGTATGAATATCGTTCAACAAAATCATAAGTGGAGTTTTGACAACTGATATACATTTTTGTTGACTAAACAGTTTTGAGTTTATGAACTACCAAATGAAAAATAAATATAAGCATTTCAGGAGTATTTTATTTTATTTTACGAAAAAACTACATATAGTTACATTTGAAAGAGTGTATATTTATTTGAAATGCACAGGTACAAAAAGAGTTACAATAAAAACTAAAAGTGTATAAAACGAAAACAGACCGATTGTTTCTAACAAAAATATGGTATATAATAAAAAGTGAAAGACGGATATTCATATGAACAACTACTACAAATGCAGGTATATCTCTGGCAAGAAATAGATTATTGTATTCGAAAAAAACACACAAACTATAGCATAAGAAGAGAAGGCCCAGATCTCGATATAAGTCAGTTTGTATTCATTATAATATTTCATTCTTTTCATCATAATCGTTAATTGAGTGGAGGCTATGCTCATACATTTGAGATGGACGACGTGGTGTATACTCGTGACTACTATATGGTGCACTTAAACGACGTGGTGCTGCCTTATGACTACCGTACTTCTTTTTAAAATCTATCGTTTGTTCAGCTAAACGGTCAGCGGTTGAATAACGTGGAATACTCAGATGTGACAAAGTACCCAGTCCTTGTAAAAATAGACGAAATGCTTCGGCCATTTTAGCTGGTTGTTCTTCAAGAACAAAGCCACCACAGTCAGCAAACTAAAACAAAGTTTAACAGTAGATTCTAAATAGCTGCTCCAGAAAGATAATAAAACATACTTCTACAAGTGAGGATTTGGATGGATCACATTTATCATTTGTGAAAAAGACGTCATTTTTATGTGGAGAGGAAAAACCAGTGACATTTATAACTGAACATCTGAAGGCGATGATGAAAAAAAACAAAGTAACATATAATCTAAGTTCGTTCTGATTCTTTACTTCAAAGTTTTTGATGGTACGGAGTTTTTATTTGCATCCGATGGTTGTTCCATTGTTATTGAAGTACGTCTAGAGAATTATAGATAACTTGAGAGAATAAATAGATGAACAACTATGTATCTTACTTGAAGTATGAATTTACATATTTCATAACATTTCTGGGATTTACGTCTTCTTCTAAATGACGGCGGACTGATTGCACAAGACCAAGGTGTGTAGATTGAGTTTCCTATAATAACCAAAAAGACATGATTAAAACAGTAAGTTATTTTGGTTAATGAATGTAGATATTATTTAAACAATTCTATTTTTCCTTGCATTTATTCATAACACTTCGAATCACCACAGTGACACTTCTTCAGGTTCGATGCATCATTTTCTTTTGTTACTGAAGGTAAAGAAGGATCACTGTGGTGATCTGAAGCGTCATGAATAACACCCGGAAATTTTTATGACCTAGAACGCCCAAAGCGGTCATTTTGACCGTTACTGTTTTTTTTAAAAATTTTATACTTAAAAATGGTTCTGAATTCAAAAATGAATTAAAAATTCTGCAAAAAATAATTTTTGTGGGACAAATTAAAAGTTATGACATAATTTATTTTTAAATAAACTGTATGCAGTTTGTTTTATTAAGGATAAAAATCACAAAACGGTCAAAATGACCGCTACGGGCGTTCTAGTGATAACTGGTATTTATGAGAAATGCAAGGAAAAATATTCTCGTTTAAAAAACATGATTATAATATCTAAGGAAAATAACAGCATATATGTCATTAGACTATATATCTTGGGACCAAGATATTTGTTTGTTTTCAACCATACAGTCTAAAAACCTTAAGTGAGAGATTTTCGCACTTCAATGAGAAAATGATGCGCGTATCTGGTTAGTATTATTCTGTTTTAATATTTTTTGTGCACGTTCACTTGCATATGTCTTCTAACCTAAACGTTTAATTAGACTTACGTTGCCTAAATGGTACGAAATAAGAAAATTTTTCAATGATTCACTCCAGTTTTCGTTCATAACGTCTTTCGCCGGTCGCTGCAAAAATGTAAAAACGTAGTCTTCAAGAAACAGTCAAAGATTAATCACCATATCATCCATACTTTAATAGAAAAACCCTCAAACCATCTGACTGCTCTTGTTGTACAATTAACCAAAATTAAGCCATACATCTTTGAGGGATACGTCAACTACAGTGGAAACTTTCAAGTAAAGTTCAATATTCTTTTTTGATGATCGAAAGATACCTACAGCAAAACGAGCCAAAACATTTGCACCAGCACCAACTCCAAAGCCAATGGCAGATTTTATACTAAAAAAAGAGAAAAGAAAGAGAAAGATGTAATGATACAAATTTTTCGATCTTGTAAATGTTAACAGCACTATGATGGTGACGATAGGAATTTCATATTGATGATAAGATCTCACGTAAGATGCGGGTAATTCAAAATTTGAGCAGAATTTCTTTTTCGTTTAGTTGTGCGTGGTTAGATAGAGCTCGTCGAGCTGAGTAAGAAAACGCGGCCTTTTAGTTTTTAAAAAAGTTTTTTAAGGAAGAAAAACTGAAAAAATTCGAAGGATCTAAAATTTTGAACAACCCTTTAGTTTCAAAAGAAAATCAAATTTCTTTCTTTTCGTTCTTCTGCCTTTTCGAAAGCATCTTTTTGAGATTCTGTATAAAAAACTGAGTATGAGAATGATGCTTGATCGAGGTCGAAGTCATGACTTCGACCTCGACCAAGCATCATTCTCATACTCAGTTTTTTATACAGAATCTCAAAAAGATGCTTTTGAAAAGGTAGAAGAACGAAAAAGAAAGAAATTTGATTTTCTTACGGTACTTCCGAAAGTTTAAGAAAAATTTTGAAACAAAACGGCGCAAAAAAATTTCCATGGGAAAATAATATTAGTTTGAAAATTTTTCCTAAACTTTCGGAGATACTTCGGGCCGAGAATAGAAAATCTTCTGGGTTATCGAGTGTGCTGAATACGAAAAATCACTTTTCAGCAACTCAAAACCAACTTAATTTTTTTTCTGGTGATATGACTTGTAGACGAAAGTTACATACTTCAAATGAGTGAAAACATCTTGAACAGTTTCAGCTAATTGTTCCATTGTTGGATACGGCTGACTAAAACAGACGTAAATGAATGAAAGGACTGATTTTTCTAACAATTAGAAATATTTACTTTGATGAAAGTGGTTTAGCTTGATCTTCTTGACCAAGTGCATTTATGTGATAAATAGTGAAAGATTGTGTTATTGGCGCCATTTCAGTAAATGAAAAAAACTGATGAAATTGAGTCGCAGCTAAACAAAAAGAAAATTAGTAACTATAATCGTCAGAAAATGAAAACTGCTAGATTTTAAAATCGAATAAGTGTATACTTTGACCTAGAATTCTTATTTTAAGGATACGTAAGGATGGATAAAAGACCGATAAAAACCTATAGACTTCAACTTCTTATCCGTTCGGATTTTTGAGAGGAGTTGAAATTTTAATTTCAAGTTCTCGCTCTACTCTTTAATTAATTATATGAAATTTTTTTACTCACAGTTATAAGCAATATCATGATACGTAACGATAACTGTACGATTTGCTGCTCCTTGTTTATTAACTTGTACTACGCCATAATGTGTAGGAATATTGATCGTCTAAACAGATAAGAAATAGAAAGTATATCATTGTATTGAGAGTTTTCGGTCGTTATTTCTTTCTTCGAAAAGAAAATTTCACTTTGACTATGGCTACTAAGATCGGGATTACAAACCTCAATATTTGTTAATAACTCATCACTTAAACCGCTGT